GAAAGTGTGTGTAACATCCTTGCAACCAGGGAGTTAAAAACAGCACATATTATTTTATAAAGAAAGATAATGGAAGAAAGTGCCCAGAAGAGGGAACCTGGTCACCCATGGAAATGCTTGGCTAAGGAGATGAATAATGTCAGAACTGATACCCAAGGGGCTCTGAAGTGCTTTGGGCATCTGTGCCCAGGTGGCCAGAGTGCCTGGGCACACCAACCACTACTCTGTCGTGATTAGGTGTCTAGACTCACCTGGGAGTTGAGGACATGTCAGGTTCATGCAGCCTGGAATCACCTGCACTCCCCCCCACACACACACCTCCACCACCCCACACCCCAACCAAACCAAGAAGAAATAAAACTTCACACCTCCCTCACTGGCTCAACAGCTCCTTTTACAAAGCACTGATCATATGCTAATATATCCCATGATACATCTTTTTTTTTCCACTTTGCATATTGTGTATTAGCTGCCTCTCTGTCCTCAAATGCAAGCTTCACAAAGGGAGGATCTTTTGTTCACAAGTGGATTCTAAGAACTGAGAACAAGGGTGGCACAGAATACTCAAGAACCTTGTGTTGCATAAAGGGCTCTAGAAACCCCTGAGAGGTCCAGGAGGCCTCAGGGCTCTGCAGTGTTCTAGAAGATTCCAGGAGAAAGCAGAGCCAAGCCCAGGATGGCCTCCACCCCCTCCTGCAGCACCGAGGGACAAACCCCCCTGGGACAGGCCACCACTTACATAGGAGGGTAGGAGGTGGTGTTCTTCACAGATCTCCAGGGCTCTGCTGGCTGCGGTGGAGCAAATCTCAGGGGCCCAAGAGGGGGCTTGGCAAAGGGGACGCCCAGGAAGACGGCCACGGGCTGCGCAGATCCTTCCAGGCTGACGTACTTCCCCAGGACTTTGCCGTGCACCGTGTCCACCACGGGGGGCGAGGATGGGTGTCCTGCTGGACATGGGGAGCAAATGAGGACATTAGAGGGGAAAGGCCAGAAATGGGTTCCAGGTGGGGTTGGCCACATTCTAGGTACGTGAAAAAGTCATCTATGCCCTCTAGGCCTCAGGACAATGTGAAATAAGGAGGAGGAAATGTGCAACCTAAGTAAAAGGATTCAGTGAAGGACTTAGAATTGAAATATAAACACATCCAGTCAAAAGTCAACGGAATAAGGAGAGCTTCTGGGAACGAACAAGGCCTTGGTTTCCCTCTTAGAAGCTTCTGGGAGCATGCATCCAGAGGTGCTGAGCTGCATACTGGTTGAGGGGACGAACAAGTGGGGGCCCTGTTCTCAGGAGGGCTGACCTTGGGGGAGAAGGAGCCACAGATACACTTGACCTGAAGCCCGGGAGAAAGAGGCCACGTCCTGGTGGGGGACCAGGGAGGGGCTGCAGGAGGGAGAAGAGGGAGCCAGGCCTTCTGATCCCATGGAGCTGGGACTTGCAGAGAGGAGACAAGAATGAGGGAAGATGGAATGAGGGGGGAAAGCTGAAATAAGAGACAGCGCAGAGGTTCATAGATAGAAAAATGCAGGCTCTGGCTGGACACTGGTGAGTGGGCTGTGGGTACAGAGGGAGTCCAGGTGCAGGGGGAGATGACTCTGGAATGAACAGGTGCATGACAGGGAGGGCCTTGAATGCCAGGCTAAGGGATTAGGTTTCATTTATTGGACAAACAAACATCAGGAATAATTTTGGAATGAAGGACACAATAAGCTTCTAGAATGTACTATGAGCTCTAAGAAGGGCCATTTATAAAGAGAGAGAGAGACTGGGTGTCAGGTTCCTGCTGCTCCATTCCCTCCATTCTTGACACCTGTGCTCCTCGTCTCCCTTCGGCTTCCTCGCCTGACTCGGTTCCACCTGCTTCGGGAGCAGAGTGAACTAACCTGATCTTCCTTCCTGAGGCAGGTGGATTTCAGACACCCCACCATGGCCACCCTGAAGTCCTGTCTTGTCTGTCCTCAATGACCTCAGTTTCTGAGAGCACCCATCACAGGACATGGTTACTATCCTCCTGTCCCAGGATGCTCCTCTTCGGATACAGACAATATGGCAACATTCCCCGCAAAGCGTGTGGCCAGAAAAGAAAAGAATAATTCAGATGTGTTCTACCAGAAGAAGAATTAATGGAAAGTTTTTATGGGAAATCCACTTACAATAGCACCAATAGCCAGTTCCATACTGTGGGCACTTGGGCTGTTTTGTTGTTGTTGTTGCAAATCACTGGACACCACACCAGGATGGACATTCTGGAGGCAAGGATACTCAGTCCCTGACTTACAGTGCCTTAACTTAGCATTTTTTAAAATGTTAAGATCATGAGTTTTCTTACGATCAAGATGAATAACTAACAGCCCTGGAAACCATGATACAAAGCCATTCCACGCCTCCTGGTATAAAGAGTGAAGCCCATGCTTTTTTCCTTATGACACGTGACTAATTATTACCAATAACACCGAGACGTCCTTCTAGGAAGCTTATATTCAGTGAGATGTCTGTGGATACAGACGGTGCAGGTCGCTTTTTTTTTTTCTTTTTTTTTGGTGTAGAGCCAGATTTTTGTACTGAAGATAGATACCTGTTTTATATATTTAGGAGAAAAAAATCATAAAGAAACATGGAGGTGCATAACATGAGGGATTTTGATGGAGGATTTGGTAGCTGCCAAGATCAGTTTATGGGGGCTGTGGAGGGAGAAGAAGACTGAAGGGCAGGCATGTGAACATGGCTCTGTGTCAGGCAGGGTCACTGGGGACGTCAGTGAGATGTCCTGGCAAGAGACCACAGGACCAGGGCACCTCCGGACTGGAAGGAGGTGGGTGAGGGGCGGGGGATGGTCCCCCTGGAGGTGAGGGTGCACACCATGGATGTGTGTGGCTCACTGCCGGGGCCAGGGCGAGAGGAGAGCAGGAGCGGAGAATGGGGCTCAGAGGCAGCTTCAGCTGAGGTTGGGAGCACCCACAGGGGAGGTGGATGGAGGAGGGTGGGAAGAGGAGCTGAAGGAGGGCGAAGTCTGAGCAGATATCTGAGGACATGGCCTCTGTTACCTCAGTGACCACCTTCAACCCAGATAAAGTGGGTAGAAGCCAGAGAGCCCCAGATAGAAATATGGGCAGACAGGGTGGGAGGCATAAACAAGATTGTGACAACAGCAGGCATCTCTTGGGTCATGTGGGATGTGCACATACTGAGCACTTTCTGTGTACCCGATGTGCCTTCCAGCTGCTTTACATTATTCCTCAAAAGAGCTTCACCTGGTGAGTGTCCATAAGCCCACTGGACAGATGGGCAAACGGGATTCGGAAGCAGCCTATAGGAACTTCCTAGGTGGAAACGGGATGGCATTTGCTGGGGTAACCAACAAAAAGGAATGTTCAACCCCAAATTTGGGTCTTCTCTTACTCTGCCTAACCCTCATTGCCAGTCCTCCTAAGTGTCACCTAGCCAGAGAGAAGATAATACCCAGACGGGGCCTCGGTTGCCAAGGCACTGATGTCCAGAGCACAGGTTCTGGATTCAAGAGCCAGAAACAGACCAGCGCAAGGCTTCCCAGGTGAACTTGGGAGAAGACATTTCTCGGAGTCTCAGTTTCTCTGTCCATAAAGTGGCACAGATGTGTGCTGTGGTCCATTTTGCTGAACCCCTGTGTTAACCGTGGATTTATTTTCTGTCTCTAATGCCTTGGTGGGTGAGGTCTTGCTGATCTTTGAGGAACTACTGCTCCTTGGGTCCACACCCCAGCCACCTCCTTTATTATGGTCTCATAACCTGGGCCAGTATCCTCCTGCCCAAACCACCCAGAACTAGGAGCCAGAACAAAGTCCACTCAAATAATTCCAACAGGCCAACCCTATGCCAGCTTCCTCTGCCTCTCCCCTTCTGGGAAAAACCAAAACAACCATTTTGTACCTGTTGACCTCCTCTCCCTCTGCCTCCTGACTGACCTCAGTAGGTCCCTTTGTGTCTTGTCCACCCCAGTGGTGTCTCCAACCTCTTGGGTACTGGAGTGACAAACTAAATTTTCAACAGTCAAAAGCTTCTGGCCTGATGTTACCATATGTCAAGTTTCCTAATAACACACTCCACTTTAGATCAGTACCTTTATCCTTTTTCTACCTCCTACAGACCAGACACCATTCTAAGTGCTTCAAAAAGCACCACCCGCTTCATCCTGACTACAGCCTGATAAGGTGGGTACTACTTCATGCCTATTTTAGGGACAGGAAATCCAGGCACAGCTAAGTTAAGTATCTGGCCCAAGGACACCCAGCTTGGAAGTGCAGAGCTGGGATTCACTTAGTCAGGTTCCTGAGATGATGCTTTTAATATTCTGCTAAGCCCTTCTCCCCCATGGCCCAGATCTCCTCTAATAATCAAGCGCGGAAGTAGGAGGGAGGACCTCTCTTAATTCCTCGAGTGAAATTTGAGTTTATCTCATTGCCCTCCTGACCCTGACGCATGAAGCAGGAGGGCCAGGTGTTTATCGTACCCTGAGTCTTCTTGTGGCCAAGGCTGGCTGAGCTTCACTACTCCAAGTCTGTTTTCAAGTTCAAGTCCAGTTCCAAGTCTAGAGGGAGAACAAGATTGTGGAACTGGAGCTGCATGTCTTTGTCCTTTAGTTATCGCCACCCATCTCAGCCCAGGACAAGGATTTCCCCTGTGTGCCCTGGTATTTATATTTCAGAAGGACTCACCCCATGCCGCGCAAGCAGAGAGAGAAGCCAAGACCAAAGTATAGAGCCACATCCTGGAAGGACAGCCGTTCTGGGGTCAGTGAGTCTCTATGCTGCTCAGAGGCAATGCACTGGTACCACCCTAAGCTCAAGACCTGCCCCTGAATCCTGCCTACCCAGGCCAATTGCATAACCTAAAATGACAGAAAAGCTCTCCCTCCCTCTGGCACCTCTTGGGACCTCCAAGTCACGCCCATAGCTCTTCTCTTGTATCTGAACAGTCTGTACCAAACTCTTAGATTACAGAGGGCCACAAACTCGTCCAACAACTTCTTACATAAGAATTTCTCCCTGGTAGAACTCTAACCTCAGTGCACTTTGAGCTTCCCAAAGCGGGCACCAGGAAACTGAACCCTGAAACAAGGCAAAACTTTGGTCTGGGGTCCTCAGAACAAGCTGGGACATTGTAGAGCAACTCCCAGCTCCAAAGCTGCTCAGCTGAGAGATTAGGGACATCTCTTAGCCTCCTCAGGCTGCTATTTCCTAGAATTCCAGGCTCTGACATTTGGAAGTGATCATCCAGTCCTCTTCTGATGTCTAAATTAGTTTTGCTTTGTGTCTGCATGGTGACCCAGGCTCCCACACACAACTATGGTCAGGAAACTCACTACATTTTGGTGCAGCAATTTTTGGATATAATATTCTTCCAGTAAATGAATTCCATATACCTCAAATCCTTGGCTCTCATTATGTCTCCATTTTATCCATTCCTTCTTCAAACATTTACCCACATACCTGGTGCATACAGGTAAGTACAAAAACAGGCTCCAACCTCTACTCTGTGTGCAATTTTAGCCTTTTCAGGTTATGGATGCTTTTCTCAGTTACAGAGAAAAAGGAAAACGTATATAATATTGGTTTCTAATTTAACTTTTTAGTTTCTGTCTGTCCAAAGACCCTCTTGACCAATGTCCTGAGTGGAGAGCTCAGCATGTTATCCCTGTTACAGTGCTGCCCCCTGCTGGACACTGGTAAGTACACAGGTGAAGACAGGTCTGGTTGTCTCTAAAGCTTTTTGCTTTGATTTAATTTAATCAAAGATTGGGGCTAGGAAAGACACTTTCTGTAAAATATTAAAGTTGTTTACAATGAAAGTAATGATTAGATATTTGAGAGTATTACAATAATGGAAAGGCAAAGATGATTTCAAACTCTGACAGGTACTTGTATTACTGATGTATCTGAAGTGACATGGCTCTTTAGGAGAGGGAATTTATAAAACATAAAAGGAGTCATTCATAAAGGGCCTTGCTTTCATCCAAGGTCATCTCCTTCTGAAAATATTTCTAAAGTGTGTTCAAATTAGTTAGACATGACAGTAGAGTGCATTTGGACACATTGTATACAAATGGAGCACAACTTCTCTTTCCTCTGGCTGTATGTGGTGCAGAATCACACTGGTATAATAATAATAATAATAATATGAGTATATAGGGTAATAATGTCTGTCTCATTCCACCATCCTTCCTACCCCCACACCCTGTCCCCTCCCCTTATTCCCCTCTGCCCTATCCAAAGTTCATAGTTTAGCTATTGCGAATAGAGCTGCTAGAAACATTCATATGTCTGCATCACTGTAGTATGCTGATTTTAAGTCTTCTGGGTATGGACAGAGGAGTGGGATAACTGGTTCTATTAAAATGGTGGTTCCATTAAACAGTATGATATTGGCATCAAAATAGACATGTAGACAAATGGTACAGAATAGAGGACAGAGATAAACCCAAATAAATACGGTTATCTCATACTAGACAAAGGTGCCAGAGACATACCTTAGAGAAAAGTTAGTCTCTTCAACAAATGTTGCTGGGAAAACTGGTAATCCATATGCAGCAAAATGAAGATCAAGCTTTATCTCTCACCATGCACAAAAATCAACTCAAAGTGGATTAAAGACAGGCACTAAAACAGAGACCCTGAGCCTAACAGAAGAAAAAGTAGGACCAAATCTTCATCATGTCAGCGTAGGAGATGACTTCCTTAACAAGACTCCTAAAGTGCAAGAAATAAAATCAAGAATCAGTAAATGGGATGCATTTGAACTAAAAAGCTTTTTATCAGCAAAGGAAACAATCAATAACATGAATAGAGATCCTAAAGAATGGGAGAAAATTCTTGGGGCTAGGAAAGACACTTTCCACACACACCTCAAACAGAGCAGTCATCTCCGGGATATAGAAAGAATTAAAAAAACTTATCACCAAAAAAAAAAAAAACAAAAAAAACAAACAAACAACCCCATCAATAAATGGGCCAAGGAACTGAACAGACACTTCACAGAAGAAGAAATACAATTGAACAATAAATATATGAAAAAACAATGTTCATCAGCTCTGGCAATTAGAGAAATGCAAATCAAAACTACTCTAAGATTTCATCTCACTCCAGTCAGAATGGCAATTATCAAGAATACAAGCAACAATAAGTGTTGGCGAGGATGTGGGGGAAAAGGCACACTCATGCAATGCTGGTGGGACTGCAAATTGGTGCAACCACTATGGAAAGCAACATGGATGCTCATTCTTTTTAAAATCTCGAGGCCATAATTAATATTCAAAAATTGGCAAGTAAGATGGTGGCAAGATCCTTGACTAAGATGGGCAATCTCCTCCCAGAGGCACACCAAGTACCTGCTCCTAAAACCAATAAAATCCGGTAAAAGATCATAATGCCCACTTTTAGTATAATAAAATAAAAATATTGAAAAAGCAAAAAGTATTGTGATACCTGCATCACCTTGTTCCAACTCCACGTAGCCCATGGTGGAGACAAGTGGCTCTCATTTTGGGAAGTCTAGAAGCCCAGGACCAGGTCTGCCATTGTGAAATTCAGTAGTGGGCAAAGCCCCACAACTCCTATCACAGGGCCGAAACTCACAGATTGAACTTCCAAGTTCAAACTCAAATTGAACTTCCAATTACTTGTTGATCCAAGTAATTTACTGCCTCTGCAACCAATCAATTTAGGGTTCTTTCCTTAAATTCAGACAGAAATCACCAACAGGCAAAGTGAAGCTCCCATCACATCGACAGCTCTAAGCTTTGAGGGCTAGCGGCTCTCAGCTCATTGGGTTGGGAACTCTTCCTGCTGATCATGCTGCAGCCAGAACTGATAGCTCTTCCTGTAAGTCTCCCAGCAGACAGAGCTAACAGCTCTCTCAGCAGCTTTTCTATAGCTCTTGGCAGCTCTCTGGCTTGTAGCCATTCTCAGGCCTACCACCCCTTAGTGTTACCAGCTGTTAATATGACCAACTTACCTTGCTCTGCTTGAGATAGAAACTACAGGAGAAAAGCTGGGTGTGGTGGTGCCCACCTGTAATCCTAGCAGCTTGGGAGGCTTGAGACAGGAGGATTGTGAGTTCAAAGCCAGCCTCAGCAACAGTGAGGCATTAAAGCAACTCAGTGAGACTCAGTCTCTAAATAAAATACAAAATAGGGCTTGATGTGGCTCAGTGGTTGAGTGCACCTGGGCTCAATCCCTGGTACCTACCCATCCCCCCAAAAAGAATAAAAAAGAAATTACAGAAAAAGTAAAACCCTCTGAAAGAGGCTTTATTAGAACTTAATGCTGCAGCAGGAAGGGAGCGGTACTTGGGAGAGAGATTTATGCCGACTGATCTGATGAGGAGGGATGCTTATACAGACCAAAAGGAAGGCCCATGCAGTCACAGTCTCCTGTCTGCTAACTTCAGAAGTTTTGCATAGTCGTGCCAGTCTTCCTAGCTGTATTGGGCCCACCTGGCTGTCATAGACGGGCTCTTCACAGGCCAAAGTGGAGACATCTGAATGGGCTACAGAGGGAAAGAATCATTCAGAGAAGCTGCAGAGCCTCCGAAGCTACTGCAGCCAAAGCAAAGTCTCCCAGAATATTTATGGAGCATGTGATGAGGCTGTAGCTGTTGTGATGGCCGCCTGGCTGGACGGCTAAAGAATCAGTTACCTCACTATGCTTCAGGACAGGGGTTGCATCCAAGTGCCCGGATGTTGAGGAGGGGTCTGGAGGCTGACCAAGCCAGGACACTAATACCCATTCCTCCAGCCCCAGAAAGCTTTAGCCACGAACAAAAAAAGCACTAATTTATATGCAGAAAGCATAAACAGAGTGATATCAAAAAATACCCTTTTAAGGAAGATTTGAACTTTCCAGTATGTCTTACCTCCATCGCCCCTCCTTTAATCTTGAGGGTAGAACAGAGAGTAGGGCACAAAAGCTAGCACAGAGCTTTATCTTGGATCCAGTTCCAGGCCTGCCACCGTATAGAAATCAAAGTCCCCATACACAGAACAGATCACAGAGCCTCTAGAAAGACTCTACCCGTCAGGTGGAGACCTATGCACCAGACCCACACTTTGGCCACATCAGTTCCAGCCCCTGAATGGGCCTGGGCCACACTTCCTTCCTCCCAAGACTGCACAAGCTCCCACAGTTGTGAGACCCAGGCATGACCCAGCCAAGAGCCAGACTTTAAGGCCAACCTTGGGCAACTGCTATCACCAGGCCAGTGCTTGCAGCTAGTGTTCTAGAACTCCCAGCAATGTCCGAGTGTGCCTTTTCCCCCACATCCTCGCCAACACTTATTGTTTTTTGTTTTCTTGATAGCTGCCATTCTGACTTGTGAGATGAAATCTTAGAGTAGTTTTGATTTGCAGTTCTCTAATTACTAGAGAAGTTGAACATTTTTTCATATATTTGTTGATAGATTGTATATCTTCTTCTGACAAGTGTCTGTTCAGGTTCCTTATCCTATTTATTTGTTATTTTGGTGTTAAGGTTTTTGAATGCTTGATATATCCTAGAGATTAGTGCTCTATCTGATGTGCTTGTGGTAAAGGTTTGCTCCCATTCTGTAGGCTCTCTATTCACCTCACTGATTGTTTCTTTTGCTGAGAACAAGCTTTTTAGTTTGGATTAATTCCATTTATTGATTCTTGGTTTTAATTCTTGCACTATAAGAGTCTTATTTAGGGAGTTGGGACCTGAACCAACAAGATGGAGATTTGGGCCTACTTTTTCTTCCATTAGGCTCAAGGTCTCTGGTTTAACTCCTAGGTCCTTGATCCACTTTGAGTTGAGTTTGTGCATGGTGAGAGATCAAGGTTTAATTTCATTTTGTTACATATGGATTTCCAGTTTTCTCAGCACCATTTGTTGAAGAGGCTATCTTTTCTCCGATGTACACTTTTGGGTCCCTTTGTCTAATATAAGATAACTGTAGTTATTTGGGTTAGTCTCTGTGTCCACTATTCTATACCATTGGTCTATAGGTCTATTTTGGTGCCGATACCATGCTGTTTTTGTTACTATTGCTCTGTGGTATAGTTTAAAGTCTGTAATAGTGATGCCACCTGCTTCACTCTTCTTGCTAAGGATTGTTTTGGCTATTCTGGGACTCTTATTTTTCCAGATGAATTTCATGATTGCTTTTTCTATTTCTATGAGGAGTCTCTATCTCTTTCTTGAAATAATCTGTGCTACCTGTATTTGCTCTCTTATCTCTTTGTTGGAATGATCAATTTTTGCCTGTACTTGCTCTGTTAGGTCATTCTTTAATTCCCAGATCATTTTAGTGATGTACATTCTGAACTCCTTTTCTGACATTTCATCTACTGCGCTGTCCATGGGTCTATTATTGTTGTATCTTGGTTTATTTGGGGCACTTTCCTCCCTGTTTTTTTCATGCTGTCTGTGTCTTCCTCTCTTGCAGTGCAGACCTGAGCTATTGCAGCTTCTAACCTGTAATCTTGTAGTGTCCCTGCAGGCTACCAATACCTCATCTTAAAGGGAGATTTCAAAGTTTACAGCACCCAATGCAACCCGTATGCAGCCATAGATCAATTAGGTTTTATTTTGACATCTACTGTTTTGTCGCTATAAACAGAAAGGATGAATTTGGTTATCTTTTATCAGGTAACCAGTAATTTTGCATAAGGATTTACAGTTTCTAATGGTGGGCAGAGGGGGTTGGTAGGCTGTGATGTTTATGAGGCAGGATGTGAGAATATAGAGGTATTAGATTAAAGGACCAATGAAAGGGTAATCAAAAGTGTTGGCTGTTAGCAGGAGAAAAAAGAGAGTATGGCGACCCCATGCAGGTCTCCCTGTTGCCTCTGCAAGCAGATGGTGTCTGTTAGCACACCTAGTAGGGATACCAGTGGTGCATAGGGACTCACAGGGACCTTGGTGATGGTCTTCCAGGTCCTGGTTCTTGTCCCTAGATGGAAGCACCCGTGTCACTGGTTGATGGTGGTAGTAGTTTCAAGCCTGTAGGTACCATAACATTGGGCTTCCAGGCCCCCATCAGCGTCCCAAGGTGGAAGCTGCCCCAGCTAAAGATGGCGGAGGCAGCAGTAACCCAAGATGGCGGTGGAGATGTCCCAAGATGGAAGCAACCACTTTCAGGACTGGGAGGATAGGCTGTGCAATGGCATTGGGTGGCCTATTCGGTGATGCTGCAGTGTTGTCTGCAGTGCTGCAAGGGGCAGCTGCCTTGGCCCTGACCAATGTCCCACAGGGGAGATTACCACGTGGGGAGGGCTATGGCGATGGCTGCTATTGGGAGTAGCCCTGGCTCCAAAGAGTAACTTCCCCATTGCCCAAGTAGAGCCATCCAATGGTGAGCCCTGCTGGCTCACATGATCCTTACCCACAAATCAGACTAGCCCTGCTGGCTCACATGATCCTTACTCACCAATCAGATTAGCCCTGCTGGCCCACAAGATCCTTACCCACCAATTAGACTAACCCTGCTGACTCACATAATCCTTACCCACCAATCAGAAAGCACCCCATGCCAACTGTCAAACCATTAAACTATTAAACTGTCATAACTGTCAATGCCCCCACCCCATAAATATGCAGAGCTGTTCCTCAATAAACGGGCATTTTCTCTAATGATGAGCCTTCTTCATTCTTTCAGCTACAATGGCCCAAAGTGGAGGAGGTTTGGGTGAAGCCACCTGTTGGTGAATAAGGAACCACAACATGTGTGGCACAGTATTCCTCTCAGGTCTCCCGGTGGCTGCACACAGGGGGCAGGCCTCTCCAGTCCTTTTTTTTTTTTATATATCCAATCCCAACCTCAGTTTTAGGCCCAGCTGCCCTTCATAGGGGACCTCCACACCTCTGCTCTCCTCCAACAGATTTCTGGCACTTGTTACCTGGTATCTGCTGACTCAAGAGGCATCCTGGAGTGGCTCCTCTAGTCCTGGTCCTGCCTCCATGCCCAGGGACCCTGTGATCCTCAGATGTGAAGATGGGGTATTCTCAGTGATCCTGACTGTTGGGAGTCGCCCTGGCTCCAAAGACTAACTTCCCCATCCCCGGAAAAGGGTCATCCAATGGTGAGCCCTGTTGGCTCACATGATCCTTACCCACCAATCAGACTAGACCTGCTGACTCACATGATCTTTACCCACCAATCAGACTAGCCCTGCTGGCTCACATGATTCTTACCCACCAATCAGACTAGCCCTGCTGGCTCACATGATCCTTACCCACTAATCAGACTAGCCCTGCTTACTCACATGATCCTTACCCACCAATCAGAAAGCACCCCGTGCCAACCGTCAAACCATTAAACTGTTAAACTATCATACCTGTCATAACCCCCGGATCTATAAATATGCAGAGCTGTTCCTCAATAAACGGGAATTTTCTTCGACAACAAGCCTTGTTCGTTCTTTCGTTGGTGCTGAAACCTGGGAGAGGGGATGCCTCGCTGCTCAACGGCCCCCTCTCTCAAGGCTTTCCATTCTCGTCCACTCTTTCGAGCGCTACTATTACTCACACAACACCGGCTCTTCAGTAGGTGAGTTCCCCTATCAGGTATCCAACTTCAGACAGGCTACGCAGGAGCTTTGACTGTGATCATCTGGCAAACCTCTGATGCCCAATCTGGAGGAGAGAATGCACCCCACCACCACCTTCACGGTTACAGTGGACTCTCTGGAACCCGGTTCATGAGCAAGAAGTCCTGAGGGGTAGAGAACAGGCACTCCTCTCTCTCTCTCTCTCTCTCTCTCTCTCTCTCTCTCTCAACCACCCTTGTCCCTCTCCCAACCTATGGGGGCCTCATCTTCCCTCCCTGCAGACTCCCCCTTATTAAATTCTGTACACAAGTTTGGCCTTACTGTCAATTAGACAATCAAAGTCAACGGCCCCCAGGAGGATCCCTAGATCCCGTAATTCTCAGAGATCTGTTTAACTTCTGTGAGCGCTCGAAAAAGTGGAAGGAGATCCCCTATGTTGAGGCTTTTTGTCTTCTTCATTCTCAACCCAACCTATCCGGCAGATGAACCCCCTCCCTACCGACCTCCCCCACCAGCTCCATCCAGCCCCTCAGGTGCCCCCCTAACACAGGGGACACCTTTAGTCCCCCCCCCAAACTAGGTCCCAAGAGTTTCAATGAGTCCTCCAGGTTTATAGCCTCATTTATATGTTATTGGCTAATGCTCTCCTTCTTGAGGAATGTACCAGAGTCTGGAAACTTGCCAGATCCCATGGGGATGAAACTCACCGAGTTAATCCCAATCACCCTCTGGGGCCACTTGCTCCCTCAGATCAAACTCCCGACTGGGATTATAATACACAAGCTGGCATACAGAGTAGGAACCAATTCTCCGCATGTATTGTTGCTGGGCTCAAAAACACGGCAAGTAAGGCTGTCAATTTCCAAAAATTACAAGAGACCCCATCAGAATTTCTGGATCGGCTTAGGAAAGCCCTTTAGCAGTAACCTAGATCCCGAAACCCCAGATGGCCGTCATATCCTTATGACATATTTCCTCTCGCAGAGCTACCCCAACATCCGGGACAAACTAAAAAAGCTCGAACAAGGCCCTGCCATGCCCCACTGAGAAATTTCAGATGCTCGCCCAGGCCATGCAGGGTGCTTCCTCGGGTCGCCGCCCATCACCGCAGGTCAAAACCCCCTAGGACTCCTGCTTCAAGTGTGGCAAGGAGGGACATTGGGCCAGGGCATGCCCCACACCACGCACTACGCATACCCCATGCCCTAAATGTCAACAACAAGGTCATTGGGGCTCTGACTGTCCTAAATCCCATAGGAGGCCTATGGCCAGGGAACCCTTCAACCTCTGGGCATGGCAATCGAAGATTGATTGTACCTTGGGTCCTTGTCCCTGGCCATAACGATCAATAGACAGGGACCCAGGGTGCAGATTCAGGTGGATAGGTACAAGGTTGACTTTCTCATTGACACTGGGACTACCTTCTCATCCTGACAGAATTCTGGGGGCAAACAGTACTGTCCACCTTTCCTATTGTCGGGGTAGGAAGAAAGACCATCTATCCAAAAAAGATTCCCCTATTACTCTGTTCCATAGACAACTTCCCATTCTCTCAGACGTTCCTAGTTATGCCCCAATGTCCAGTTCCTTTGCTCAGCCGAGATATTCTCTCTAAATTCAATACAACAATCAACATCCGGGCTCCTTGCATCAGTCAGGCCCCAGAATTGGCCTGTTCATCTTTTCTGGCCCTTTTGGCAGACTGGCCATTCTGCTCCACTTGTGAGGCTGACATGAAACACCATACTAAAAAAGACCCCTTACCTATGAACCTGGTCAACCTGAGGGAAAATTCATAGCTTTTCTCCCTAATGGTTGTAGGACTTGGGATATGGAAGGAGGGTGGTCTGAGCAGGACTTCATGTCTGCACCCCTAGAGAAAGGCCTTCCAGTCTGGTTTTACAAGCTGCCCCCCGTCTTCCTCATGAGCACCCAAGAGACATCCTTGGAGATGAGTCTATGTGGGTTTGAGCTCCCCCGTGGGTCTGTGGCTCCCAGGAATCTTATATTCCCATATTAGACCACATTTGGCCTTTACCACTGTACTAAACTCTCGATAGAGATTCTTCTCACATGTATGATGACATCTCTCTGGGAGAATGGACTCAGCTATAGTTCAAGACACAGACTCTGATTTGGTCTCCAAATGAACATTCATTCTGCAAATCAAGGCCACAAGTACAAAAACTTCCCCTCCTGGACTGTCCCCACCTACACCACACAATTCTCCAACTTCCACAATAAGATGTCTCCTTGGTCTACAAACACATCCTGCAGAACACCCCCGTTGGGGCTCCTCTGGTCTCCTGAGGCTGGCTCGGTCTCCCATTCACAATTCCACATGTTCTCTCTGAGGAGGCTTCTTGGCTCTGAGCTTAGTCCACAAAGCCATCTCCTTCTCTTTCAGCCCCTGGGCTGCCTGGGTGTTGGCTCCAATCTTCAGGTACCCTTCCTTCTGATCATACTCTGGCCAATGGGGCAGCCCCTCCCCATTTGGGTTCCTAGGAACAAAATCAAACAGAAATTGCACAGAGCGGCTAGTGGTCCCAACAATATTCTGAGAGTTGCCTGGAGTTTCTGCCAAGAGGCACATGCACCTCCAGAGACAGGGAGCTCTCCATCTCCTGGAGCAGCCTGTGCACTAACTGTCACCATGCTGTGGTCACAGGGTCAGGGATCTGGTCAGTCAAACTTTAGAAGCCCCTCTTTCCCAACAGGTAGGCCCCACCACTTGCCACCCCACCCACCCACCCTGCTACCTCTATGCCACTAGCCTCACCCATGGCGAGCAAAGTTGGCCCAGAATTTCATCACCATCCTGCTGAGGTTGGTCTCCTCTTCTGAGGTGCCCCCTGTTGGGGCAGAAGGAAAAAAATGCTTTGCTACTCAAAGTGGGTTGTGTGGGCCAGCAGCAGCACCTGGGAGTTTGTAGGACAGGCAGCTTGTGGGAAGAGGGGAGGGAAAGGGAAGGTATTAGGGATTGAGATTAAACAAATGATGTTATGTGCACACACAGCTATGGCTAATGAATCCTACCGTTATGTATGATTATAATGAGACAAAAGAAAGGACGGGAGGGAGGGGGACGGACTCTTGGCCCTAACTCTGTGCCTCCTAGACAATGTGCATTTCAGGAAGACCCTTCCCTTGGTGTGCACTTTCAGCTTGAGAACAGCTGGTCTAGTATTTGGCAACGGCATGCAGTCCACCAGGAAGCTGACTGCCTTTGTCTTCTGTGCCCACCTACCTGTCACTCCCCACTCAGGGTCCAAAGGCCACATAAGAAGCTTCCTCTGCTTTGAAGGATTGTTGGCTCTTGGGTTTTTGAAACACAGCCACATTTTCACGGAGTCTGAGAAAGATCAGACTGCAATGACACTAAGGAGCTACCCAACTGGGAGGCACCCAGAGGTGCAGGTGTGCCTTGAACGGTCATAAAGTGGCTCAAAAGTCATGTGCAACTGCTGAGAGTTCATTAATTTAAGACACTTATGGAAAGTTTTGAAAAAGTATATTATCAAACATAGATGGTAATATGCAAATTTAGATATATTAGAAGACTGAATGACAAGACACATAATGACACTGGATTCAAGTTGAGCACAATTGTGACCTTAGTTCCCTCCCCCCACATCCTAATATACTTCTTTGAATGAAAAATCAAGAACGGCATTCTTTACCTGGAACAGTGCCCTGCAGGTGGCCCACCACTTCTCTTATTGATATCACAGTCAGGATTCTGAGAGTGACTCTGGCTCAGGGCACATGGATACGCCTCCTCCTTGCACAGTAGAGAGGCTGGGAACTGCCCTGTGTACCTCAGGCCCATTACAGTGAGTCAGAAGCTAAGCCTGGGACAGCAGGAGAACTTGCTCAAGGCCACCAAAGCAAGACTGGAACCCAGACCTCCTGACTGCAAGCTCACAGCCAAGCACAGAGCTGTTACCTTTTAAAATTGGGGCCCCAAAGACTGAGTAGATTTCATCCCCATGGTCTCCTATCACCGTCTTGGGTCTCATGTCTGGTACGAAGCTCGGGCGATACTGAAACTCATACATGTAGGTGGGGGCTCCAGCATCTGAGAAGACACAGATTTGTGCACAGTTCACATCACCAGCTGGACGGTCTCAAAAGTCTCTGGCTGTGCAGGAAGCCCCTGGCTATCGGCATGGGAGAAGAGACAGTTTGGGGAAAGCACAGTAACTTGCCTAATAGCTGGTTGAGGAGGAAATGGGACTTGGACCAGATATTTCTGTATGCTTTGAAGTCTTTGTATTTTTACTTTGCTTTTCTACTAAAGAATTTTGTTTGTTGTTTTACATAATGGAAGTACACAATGTATCAACTAAAGACACTGGGTTTGTTCATTGAAAATACACTAGAGCTCATTCATTTCAAGCATAACCTACAACCTGGTAGATGTCTTCTATTCAGCCCAGTTTTGAGCATTTCCAGGGCTGTTCTCACCCATTCAGACAAGAGTGAAGCAAATCCAAGCTGCTTATTTAAAAATGAGGATATTTAAATGAACATATATGTAGAGATGGAACAATCTGTTTCTTGTATCTCAGGAATACTGTATCCAAGAAAGTTATCTTTCAGAAATGAGGAAGAAATAACAACTTTCCCAGACAAAAGCTTATGAAATCAATTACCTCTGGACATACCCTATATGTTTTGTGAAAGAGAGGTCATTAAGCTGAAACAAAGACACTAATAAAATAAAACATGTTAAAGTACAAAAGTCAATGATACAAATAAAACTATAACTGAAAGAAATTATCATGACAAATTCAAACACAAAATTCATACATGAATTCTGATATCAAAAATATAATGCATGAGGATATAGTACAGAATTTTTATATGTGATTAAAGTTATTAATAGGCTGGTATAAGTGTAAAATGTTATAAGTATGCTTTATGGTAACAACAAAGCAAAAATCTTTAATAGAAGCACAAAACAAAAATAGAAAGAATTCAAAGCAAACCATGACAGAAAACCATCAAAGCACAAAGGAAGACATCAAAAGGGGAAGAAAGAAAAAGGTATTTTAAAAACAACCAGAAAGCAACTGACAAAATGGCATCAGTAAATACCTCGCTATCAGTAATTGTCTTGAATATAAATGGATTAAATCCTCCAACAAAAAGGACAGTGACCAGATTAGAAAACAAGAGCCACGTATATATGTTTCCCACAGGAGACTCATCTTGATTGTAAAGATGTATGTAGCCTGAAGGTGAAGGGATGGAAATAGTATTGTACACAAATGAAAACCAAGAGAACAGAGGCAGCTCTCATTATATCAGAAAACAGAATTTAAATTAAAAAACTATAAAAGAGACATCCTACTAGGAAAGGCAGATAGGAAAAAGTCTGTTCAATGATGACATGATCTTATGGGTACAAAACCCCACAGATTTTCCTGAAAGATGGTTAGAACTAGCAAACATATATGGTCGAATTGCAGGATACAAAATCAACATGCAAAATTCTCTATACACTCACACTGAACTGGCCAAAAAAAAAAAAAAGAAAAGAAATCAAGAAAACAACCCATAGATAGTAGTTATAACAAGGTAAAACTCAATGGGAATAAATTTAACTGAAGTGTTGTGTTTCTAGGACACTAAAATCTATAAGACACTGATGAAAGAAATAGAAGATGACACAAATGCAAAAAAAGATACCCAATGATCACAGTTTGGAAGACGTAATATTGTCAAAATATCCATGCTAGTCACAGTGATCTACTGGTTCAGTGAAATCACTATCAAAATTCCAACATCATTCTTCAGACAGGGAAAAAATTGTAAAATTCACATAAAACAAACAAAAAACTGGATCAAGGTAATCATGAGTGGAAAAAAAAAAGCTAGAGATGTAACCCCAGTCGATTTCAAGTACACTAAAAACTATGGTAGTTAAAATAACACACTATTGGAAGAAAAGAATCAACACATCAATCAATGGAACACACTAGAGAGCCCAGATATGAACCCAGGCATGTGAAGTCAATTGATTTTTGACAAAGGTGCTAAGAATACAAAATGAGAAAAGACAGTCTCTTGGATAAAGAATATTAAGAAAACTGGATTTTTTGACCTGAAGAAATAGGAAATTGAAACTCATATCACACCATAAGCAAAAATTACTAAAAAAAAAATGGATGAAAGACGTAGAAGTAACATCAGAAATTCAAAGACTGATAGAAGAAAACACAGAAAAAACTATGTGACACTAGTCTGGGCAATGACTCTGGATTTGATTCCCAAAATGGGGGACAACACAGTGAAAACTGACAAATGAGATTTCATCGAACTGTACAGCTCCTTCAAGCAAGGAAAATAAGGAACAGTGTGCAAAAACAACCTGCAAACCGGGAGAAAATGTCCGCAAGCCATAATGCATTAAACAGTTAAATATAAGCTCTGCAGGGCCTTTGGGCAACAGCAACGAAACAAAACAGCCAATTTAAAAGTGAGTAAGGGCCCTGCGTAAACGTTTCTAAAAAGAAGACATATAAATGACAACAGGTAGATGAGAACGTGCTCAATGTCACTGGGAAAACACAAACTATAGCTACAATGAGGTATCACCCACCCCAGTCCAAATGATTTTATCAAAAAGAATGGAAAACGAAAAAGGGTGACCTCAGCTCAGGAGGCTGAGGCAGGAGGATTGTAAGTTCAAAGCCATCCTCGGCAACTGAGCAAGGTCCTGTCTCGAAACAAAAAGGGCTGGGGATGTAGTTCAGTGGTGGAGTACCCCTGGGCTCAATTCCAGGCACCAAAATAAAAGGGAAAAATATTAACAAAGATGAAAAGAAAAGGGAACACTTTAATACAGTTGGTACAGATGTCAAACAAGATTGGGGTTGTTGAAAAACTTAAAACAGAATCACCATGTAATCCAGCAACCCCACTTCTGAGTATCTACCCAAAAGATTTGGAAGCAATTGGATGGAGAGATCTCTTCAACCCCATGTTCACAGTAGAACTACTCACAAGAGCCAAATCATGAAATTACCTATGTACATCAACAGATGAAAAGATAAAGAAAATGTGGTAGAGAAACACATGGAACACTATTTAGTCTTTAAAAAGAAAAGAATGATACCATTTGAGATAACCTGTTGAAATGGGGTCCAATATGCTGAGGGAGATAAGGCTCAGAAAGGTAAGTACCACATGTGACAACTTATAGCTCAAATAAAATGGTGGTAACAGGCGAGAGATGAGGAGGAAAGGAGGGTGATGGTAAAAGAGTACAAAATACCAGTTGGGGAAATGTTGGTCTTCTCTTTTGATGTTGTTCTACTGGACAGTGTGGTAAACACAGTTGATAATAGAGTGTTTTGCACTGAATATTACTGAAAGGAAATGTCAAGTGTTCTCCCTGCAAAAAATGCCAAGTATTTGAGGAGATGGGTCCGTTAACCAGTTTGATGGAATTATTGAACAATGTATTCATAAATCATAACCACACTGCACTCCATAAGTTTATATAAATAATGTTTGTCAATTTGTGATTTTAAAAAGTTCTGTGAATGTGTTCCCTCTCCTTCTCTGTCTCCCCTCTCTGAACATCTTATTGCACTGTATGTGCTCCTCCTCCACTTTCTTTGCCCATAGGTGACTGGATATTGGGAGGTGGCAGTGTCCCTCTCCTATGCAACCTCTGTGACTTACCTCTGTGACCACGGGCCACAGTCACAGATGGGATACAAAATATCACATCTCCCATCAACTCCAGGTAGAGGTCTTTGATTTTGACAGGGTCGTCTGTCCCTCTAAAATTCTTCTCAGTGGCCATTTGAGTCAGTTCATCTTGGATCTCCTAAAATGCATCAAGAAAGACATCCTCCACCTGGAGAGCTGCAGAAGGCTCCTTGGATGTGAACCTCCTGGGCCCTGTGCAAATCCCTCCTGGGGTGGCGGGGAGGGAAAGGCAGACAGATGGGGATGGAACGCAGGTGTCAGGTTTTCTTCTGCCATTGAGTTGGTCTGGGACACAGGGCAAGGCCAGCTGTTCTTTGTTTCTCAGTCAATTCCCATAACTCTTTCGACTTCTTACCAGAAGAGAGCCAGTCTTCTGCAGGAGTGATGTGGCCGTCTTCTGGTCCAGCTTGCCTTCAGAGATGGGAAAACCCATCATCTATTAAAAAAAGGGGTTAAGCATTTCTGAATCATCAGGAATTAACAAGAAGAACCAAGCAAATCAATGCCTGTGAAGGTTCTCTTGGGGTCTTGATGTGCAGGTGCATTCATTAGATTGAAAAACTATCAAGTAAATGGACTTGTACATAGAAACTCAAGGTATATAAAAGGGATGACTTGAACACATAAATACCAGGCTAGGGGGCACATGGTCATCCGGGCAGTGAGGGAAATTGAAGCCAGGGTAGTGCTAAAGCAGAGATCTCAGAACAAGAGAGCACAGGCCATTACTCCACACACTCCAATGTCTCATGAAGTCAAAATCCATCATGATGAATTTTTTCTTTGGCATAACCTGAAGTTCTCACTTCTGAAGTGAGAACTGCAGAACTCCCAACCTGTGAAGATGCTGTTCAACCTCTGCACTCTGCACTCTATCCCACTCTAGCCTGGCTTTTTTAGTCTAAGGCCATGGCCGAGGATGACCCTAGGCCACCTTGAAACACCTACATTAAAAAATCTCAATGCTTTCCAGTCAAAATGGGATCTTCTCCAGCCAAAACCTGGCTTTTTGGAGCCAATGTAACTAACATATAAGCAACTTCCTCTCTTTCCAGAGAAGTGCTGGGAGCACCCATGGGAACCCCTAGGACCTGTGAGTCCAAGCCCAAGGAAGAAGTAGCTGTGCCCAGATCTAGCTCCTGCTTCTTTTCCTCTAGACCTCGTCAGTGTGCACTATTATGGTTTCTGCAGACCCGCCCATCCTGAACAAGTCAGTATTCGTTATTAGGAAGACAATCAATGAGTGCTTAGGGAGAAGGGTCCACAGGGCTGTACCATTCAACAGAGCTTCCCAGAGAAGATTTACAAAGAAATGCCCAGTGTCCACTCAGACCAGTGGTAAAGTTTCCCAGACTCAGAGTGGGCCTTGGAGAAAAGAGACATTCTGGGTCCAGATGACAGAGGGAGGATGGGGGAGGAGGAGGAGTCTGTGTAAGAGGTCTGCACATTCTCACCGTGGGCAAAATCCAGCCAAACTCTTGCTTGTTGATTCCCACAATGTAGGGGACAGTGTTGAACGTCTTATCAGCCAGAATCTCCTCTGGTGTCTTGGGCAGCACGACACCGTCTATTACAGTGGGTATCATGGGAGTGCTCTGGGGAAAGAGAGCAGAGCCGTCAACACGCCAGCACCACAGACTTCCATGACTCTGGGCAGGGCCACAAAACTCAGAAGGGAGCTAAGTCTGTGACACAGTGAGGGGAGAATTTTAACCAGGAAGCTAGGGATGGCAACGTGATAGTGGTTGGGGAATGGGAAATATATCACCCAAAGTATATATTATATGTAAATAATTATAATATCCATCTCAATTTTAAACGCACACACAGGCACTGGATTCTCACTGTCGTAGTCGTGTTTGTCAGATCGCAGTGAGTGCTGAATTAGCAAATAGCTGGGCCATTGGTCCAAAGGGAAGTCCAGAATCAAGGCCCTGTGAGACTCTCGTCTCCATGTGGGTTGCTCTTTAGACATGTCATATGATATAGATCCCTTACAAAGAATTTGTTACATGCAGAATCCGTTTATAATAAAACACCAGCTGGGACTCATTTAACATTTTCTCAACCTTGGGTAACATCACTGCAGATTTCTACAGCTCCTGCCTTACAACACTGCTGTCCACTCTGCTTTTTAAACATGGAGCTGCTTCTCCATCTTTCCCATGGTTGTGTCTCCACCAAAGATGTTGCATGACAGCTTTCCAGACTGACCTCACTTTCAGACAGGCAAATCTCCGCTTCTTCTTTGGATGGACTGTACTCTTGATTCATTAATATTAAATTCATGGCCAAGAGCACCGTACACACCCTGAACAAAGCTTACCTATCATATGTACTTTCTCTTCAAGGCACAGCACAGACTCTCATGCTTAGGGACACTAGACAGCACTTCTTCACTATGCCTTAGAGTTGTTATAAACAGAGAAATCACCAACAAAAGCAAATATTGTAAAAGAAGCAGTGCTATATAGACCACAAGAAGGATACTGTTAGCAAGAGAGATGAAGTAAGACACTGAGTATTTCCTTGTGTGACCTCAGAGGGGAACATGGACCTCACAGCAACTCAACTCCTTGCTGCTTTGCATTTAATATTGCAAATGACCACAAATGCATCAAGGTATTTATCTGGTGCTTACAAAAATGTGTTAGCAAAGAAGTGAATTCACAAATACTAAATCTGTAACTGAGGAGTATCTATGGCATCTGTATTTAAACTTGAGCTCTTTTAGAGAAACGATTAGTTTTGAGGAGGTATCGAGCTCACCACTCGAGATACCTACATTGAGACTTGATTCCCTATTTGGGGGAGTAATAGATCAAGACAAGGGCCAGATCCTGCTCCCTGAGCTGACAGTAGAGGGCTTGGTTTGGGTGCCTTAGCAAGGCTGCGTGGCTCTGAGAGGCCTGCCCAGAGGCCAGCAGGAGGAGCAGCTCCTCTGAAGGAAGAGTCTGCAGGGCACATGGTTCAGGTGTTTGGCATCTGCATGGGCTTTTGTTATGAAAGCTGTTGGCAGTGGAAATAGCATAAGCAAGGGACAGAGGTGAGCAGGACTAATTCCAGCAATGTCACAGAGGCCTGGGCTTGAAGGAGGGCCTTAGAGCAGGAACAAGAGAGAGGCTCCGAGGATAGAGCACATTTTCTGCACAATCTCTGGCACATCCCTGGCACTCACATATGAAGAACTAATTCAGTGGGGCTGCTGAGGCCCATGTGTTGAGGCTTAATCTGCAGTATGTGGTAGTAGTGGGAGGGCGGAGACCTGAAGATATGGGGCCTAGTGGGAGGTCTTCAGGTCACTGGGCACGTGCCCTCATCATACAGAAATTCCCAAGTCTCCCCCTCTCCCCCTCCCTCCCTCCTTCTCTCTGTCCATCTCTCTCTACCCCCAGAGTTCCAGATAGGAGGTGAGTGGTTTTGCTCTTCTCCCAGTCCTGGGGTGATGTGCTGCCATAGGCCCAAAGCAACGGGTTCACGGAATCATGGAATAAACCCTCCAGAAATGTGAGCTCCATTGACCTTCTCCTCTTTATAACTTGATCATCTCAAATATCCATTATAGTACCAGAAAGCTGATTAATACAGGAAGCAAGGTTTTGTCCTGTCAACAAGAAGTAACTTCCAAGAAGGAAGTGACAGGTTCTAACTGTGTTCATTCTCATACCCTAAGGTATGAGAATGGGGAAAGGAAAGGGGAGGGTAAGAGTAATAGTCCTGGAGAGAGCCCGGGAGGGCAGAGTGAGGCAGCACCCGCAGGGAGAAGACCAGCATCAAAAAGCTGAGGAGGAGAATAACTGGCACTGTCCACCCCGTGGACGCTGGAGGTTGTCTGTCAGGACTGCAGTGCGGGGGTCAAGGACTCAGGGCTTCCTTCTCGCCTCTTCTTCCTTGACTCCTCACACACCATATATCAGCAACTTCTGTCATCTTTTCCTTCAGAAAGGTCTGGAGGGCAGACTTCTTGCTCCTCCATTGATCTGAGCTACAAGGACCCCTTGCTGTGCAGCTACAGAGCACTGAGCTCCCAAGGCTGTCCCTGCCCCTGCCCTGCCCTTCCCCTACTGACTATTGCAGTCACCAGACCTTTGTGAAACCTCAGATCATGTCCACACTCTGTTTGAAGCCCTCTGAGCACCTCCCATATCCCACAGAATCACAGTCCATGTCCTTCCAGTGACCACCCCACCCCCACCTCAGGACACCCCCCAGCCTCCACCCTGCTTCCCCATCAGCCTCCACTCCACACACAGGGCCTCCTGCATCAGGGTCTTTGCCATTGCTGTTGCCTCTGCCAGAAACCCTCCTCCTCCAGTCCTCTTGACAGCTGGCTTCCTCCCCCAGCCCAGAGTTCCACCTCAAGGTCACTGCCCATCAGGCCACCCCTTGATCCTAATGCTTACATTTAAACCATTGGCTGACTTGGTCCCCATTTTCCAGTATCTTTTTCTCTCTTGACTCTGACCATCAGCCAGCACGCTACATGGTTTCTTTACTTTTCTATTACAATCTCCCCCCACCAGAAGGCAGGGAATCTTGTCCGTGTCACTGCCATATCCCTGTTGTTAAACCATCTCCTACAACAGAGTAAGTGCTTCTTAACACTTTGATGAATGTCTGAGTAGATAGATCTCATTTCATCCTCATAAGATCAAGAAATGTCAGAGGATCCCCAGGGAGGGAGCAGAGGACAGGATTGCAAGATGGCACTAAGCTAAGGTCTCCAGACCCTGGCAACTGTGGAGAGGGGGGAGAGGAAGAGGAAGCAGATGGGAGGACACTTTTGGAGTTTCCTGGATCCTACGAGGAGGGTGGTGTCCTAAGGCCTGAGATCCCAGGCTCCCCTTCTGCACAGCTAATTTGCCCTGTGGCCTCCTAGAACATCTGTCCTCCTTAATGAAGGATTATGAGCCTCTAATCCATTTATCTAGCCTCCTGAGGGTGTTCTAGAGCACACTTATGCCACAGGGAATGTAAATGAGAAGGGGGTAGCTCATCCTGGGAGATGTATAATTTGTGACTGGGAGCACTGCACTGAGAGCCATGGCGGTGAGTTCCAATCCTGCCTCCTGACCTCTAAGCTATGTTACCCTGGCTAGTTACTTCTGCTCTCTGGGCCTCAGCAATAAAAGTCCACAAAAGAGAATCCGTTCATTCATAGCATATCAGAGCTTAAATGTATTAATAAGATTTGAAACCTGTAATTAATAAACCAATGGTCCTTACCTCTCTGGGGTCTCCAAGCATATCCAGAGTAAAAAATTTCTGTGAAGGCAAAGGCAGAGGATGTGGGTGAGAAGCTTCCTGGTATAAAAGCTGATCCTTTGAGCTGTGCCCCAGAGCTACCAGGTTCTCCCAATCCGAGGCAGAGGACCCTACACAGACCCCACTGGGCATGAGCCCAGAGTAGAGTTATAGGATGGGGGAGGAGCAGGCAGCAGCCAGGAGAGGAGACACCTGGGGACCAGAGTCAGGCTCCCTGGAGCTGCGGGGAGGACCTCTGCTCTTGCTGCCTGTCCTCGTCATCCTTCCCCCTACTTGTTCTTACTGGCATCGAACCCCGTTTTCCTCTGGAGAGAACATACACATTGGTCCCTGGGCATTGGTGTGGTTGAGGCAACTCGGGTGGGGGGGGAATGGAGCTGCAGGTGGGATGCCCAGATGGAGAGGGCATTACTCTCTCCCTGCTTTCCTCTTCCCCCTGTCCTCTGCATGTCTTCAGACATCTCTCTGTGACCTGGGGTGTTCCAAGTCCCTGAACATACAGATGAGTACAAGGATGGGTACAAACCAGTGTCACTCCAACAGAGTTTACCCCAAACCTATTGCTGAAGCTTTTGAGATAGACAGTTTCTAAGCAGATAGAACATGTATCTAGAGTGCTATTATCTTTAACCTCCTCAGGGGACAAATCTACTTCAGAGAGAAGTCAACAAAGAAGATTGTCAAGCAGAGGGGATAGAGACAGGCACATTCTTCAACACTATTTTAACAGCACCTGGATCCAGCCATGCCCTAAGCCATCTGCTCATGAACTCCTCACTTACCTGGAGATTCCATTATAAGATGTATTCTTCTTTTTCTTCAAGCCACCTTGGAAAGAGTTTTTTCATTGGGTGCTAGAAAACTATGATTTAAGCAAGCTCTTTGAAGCACATTCCAACAGATGCTTTACTTTGCTATGTGTTTAGATTGCAGTGATTGAAATGTTACATCATACCTCACTTCCTGCCCTACATGTAGAAGGACCACTGGGGTTCCTCCATTCTGGGTTGTAGCCCCACAAGCCAGCGGTGGTGTATGTGAGTGTGCGTGTGTGTGTGTGTGTACTGGGCCAGTAGTTAATCATGTAAAAAATTCCCAAAAATTCAAAAGATCTCAGAAATATGCCCTGGGATTCCAAGATTATCGGTCTCTTGGTTTCCCCAACATCACCATCTATTTCCATATAACCTTGCTCCTTTTTGCCACATAGAGGATAGCTAAAGTATTTGCTTCTTTCCAGGTATCACAAAACAGCTGTGTCTTAAATCTTTGAAAACTTTAATCACCTTATTTAAGTCGGTAAACCAATCTACAACTCCCAAGGCCATATTGAACTCAATCCATGGACATACAGAGCACTATGCTAGCAGTCTGCCCTGTGGGCCCAGAAGTATTGTCTGGTGTTCAAGGTCAAGATAGACCAGGGGCTCAAGTGACCCCAAGCTTACAGTCAGACCTTCCCCCACTTAGTAAGTAGCTCCCATTAGCCCTGCATGTCCTTTCCTCTGGATGTTTGTCCTACTAAGTTCCCTGTGGTGACAGACTGTCTTGACAATCCATCAATCCTTAAATGACACTTTCCCTAAGAAGCACTCTCAATGGCTATAATGACTGTGTCTCCTCTCTATCCTCCCACTACACAAAACCACTAAGTATATTGCTACATTTCTCCTTGTGTTGGCCCTTTTGAGCAGGGACAATGTTCAGTTAATGTCTGCATCACCTCTCCTGACATTGCTCTCCCACACACTTAGCCTGGAGGGAGGGAGGGAGGGACAGAAGGAGGAAGTGAGTTGGTTAATACAAGCACTATTGGGAAGTTGGATGGACACATGGACAAAAGGTGAAAACTACCAAATAGGTGAAGGATGGATCATGGCTTTTGGAGGACTGGATAATGGAGTGTGGATGTATGTTGAACAGATGATTCACAGATGATGGACAGATGAAACAAAGAAGAATGAGGGCTGGGGTTTAGCTCAGTGGAGAGCACTTGCCTGGCTCCTGTGAGGCACTGGGTTAGATCCTCAGCACCATAAAAAATAAATAAATAAATACAAATAAAATAAAATTATAAAAAACTAAAAAAAAGTTATAAACAATAGATGAATGAAAAGTTAAGGATGGATTCACACTAGATTAGTGAAATAATATGAATATAATTGGAGAGATGACAAATAATTGTTTTGAATACTAAATGAGACAGAGTCTCAGAAAATCTAGACTACTACTGTGTTATAATTAAAACACTTCTTAAAAAACCAAGAAAAATTATGACTCCTTTCTAAAAACCCCTACAATCAGTGTGGTTGTTGCATTTTAAGTATTTCATAATAAGAGATTAAAAAAAAATTCCAACTTGGATCAAGATGAGTGGGAGAGAGAAGCCCAGGGTCAAGCCAAGGAGGAAGGGCCACTGGGATGGCGGCACCTACCATTTTCAGCGTGGTCTCCAAGAGCTCCTCCTCTGTCTTCTGGCGCAAGCAGTGAACCATGACTGCAGACGTGGTGGTTTTACACCCAGCGGTAATAGCAACTTTCTGCAGAGATCACAGGCAACAGCAGAGTTCAAGGGCAATGTCTCCATACAGACAAGGTGCTCTATGGCAAGTCAACTTCTGAAGGCAGCAGGGAGCAGCTGAAGATCCTCTAGACAAGCTGGAGTGGGTTCTGGGCCCCACAGAGTGTGGCCTCTGTTGCTAACTGGAATTGTGACATGAATATATCTTTATATATCTGTGTCTCATTACCTTATCCTTGTGAAAATGGGCATAATGTTCTCAAAATTATGTCTAAAGTGAGGCTGTGTGGAGTTGTGGTGAAGAGCATGGAATCCAGAATACCACTCTCTGATTTAACTCCCATCTCCACCACATAAGAATCATTTGGACTCAGTTTCCCTACCCATAGATAAGCTAATGGTTGCACCTGTCTCATGAGAAGAATTAACACATGTGACCTTAAAAGTGTACCATGTCTGCACACACTAAAACTTGTGCAGAATTGCCAAAGGCCTGCATGAGACGATTTGCACTTTGGAAAGTAGAGAATGTCACTTAAATGTGGGCCCTAAAGGAGCCTCAAGCCATTCACATGTGTGGTATCCTTTGATCGTGAAGACTGAGTTCTATAAGAACAAAGCCCCTTGAGGATTCCAGGAGACACGGGAAAGGGCTTGGGAACTGTCCAGGGTGAGACTTACCTCAGCTAGAGGTTTGGCGTTCTTCCTGACCAGAAGAGAAGTGAGGGCCACGCCACTCTCAGAAATGGCCCTGTGGAAGAGGTTCTTGGCCAGCGGAGATAACACCTGGCAGGGACGTGGAGAGGAGGAGGATTATGTTCACAATGTGAAGATCAGTGACTCACTTGTCTTTCAGGCTCCCTCCAACTTCCCCCTCTGCCTGGGCCTGTTCACCTGGATACTCTGGCACCCTGTGGATATGACACTTCCTCACCTATGCTGGCCTGCTTCCCAGCTCCATGTGGGGCCCGCCTTTCCTAAGAGAAACTCAATAGGATGAGGCCAGATCCCAGAGTTAGGAACAGGACAGGAAGCGTGTGGCACATGCTTATCATGTCAAACAAAAGTATTGGGAAACCAGCTAGGCAATTCCTAGCCCCAGATTACATTGCAGTATGCAAAATTTATCCTAAGAAAAATGATCACATAAAAATGAGGTGGGACCAGGTGGGGTGGCGCACACCTGTAATCCCAGCCACTCGGGAGGCTGAGGCAGAAGGATTATGAGTTCAAAGCCAGACTCAGCAAAAAGCAAGGTGCTAAGCAACTCAATGAGCCTCTGTCTGTAAATAAAATACAAAAAAGGGTTGGGGATGTGGCTCAGTAGTGGAGTGACCCTGAGTTCAATCCCAGTACCTACGAAAAAAAAAGAGCTAGGGGTGTAACTCAATGGCAGAGCATGTGCTGCCAAGCCAAGGGCATTGCAAAAAAGAAAAAAGAAAAAGATCCTGGAGGTGCACAGAGATATCTAAAAATGTTCACGCTATTAACATGGTTAAAAAAAATAGCTGAGAGTAATCCAAGATCCAATATTGAGTAATTGGCTAAACAAGTTTTCATTCTTGCAATAGAATGTTATACTATTATAAAAATAATATTGCATAAGAATGTTTACATTAAGGAAATGTTTACGTTATGGTAGTATGTTAAGGGAAATTTTGTGGGAAAAAAATGCAACATGGATACAGAACAGAAAGGGAAGATGGGTAAAGATGATGGATGGATGGATGGATGGATGGATGGATGGATAGACAGACAGAAAAATACAGGACCAAATGCCCAGTCACTATCCTTGAGGTGTGTGATTGTGGATGATTATTTTCTTCTTCATCTTATTTGTATGTTTCCTTATCCTCTTCCTTTAAAAATGTATAAAGATTTCCCCTGATTATTCAGCTATGAGGACAATACCCAGCTGGAAAATACATAATCTGGCTGACGCTCTGCTCGACCCGGAGGTATGGAGGGGTTTCTCATGCTCCCAGCACCACCCATATTTCCCTCAGTGTCCTCCAGCCCCATTCTCCTCACTAGCAGGAAATCTCAGGACCCAAGTTACGTCTGTGACCCACATCCATGCCCCATCCTTCCTGTCACCTCCCATCCCTGCATCCCCTCACCCACCTCCCCCAGTGCAAATTGTCCCAGAGTTTGCTGCCCACATTGTGGGCATGGACATGTCATCAGGCCACCTTAGAGGAGGGCCCTGCCTGCTCTCGGTGCCCCAGTCCTCTCAACATGGAGATCTGCCTTGGAGCCAAGGATCGTTTATCTTTGCCCCTTCTCATTGTAATTTATAACCACCCCTGTTTCCCAAGAGAAGTGAGGTGAGCCCTAATATCAAAATTATAAGGAAGAGGAAATAGAACTAAATCAAATCAAAGGAGGAGAAAACTCACTGTTGCAGGCTGAGCTAGAGATGTTGCTGGCCCCAGGACATGAAGCCAAGCTCTGAGCTTCCTGGAGGCCAAGAGGGTCTGGGTCTTGACTCTCCACCACCTGAAGCCAGGCAGTGAGCAGAGTCTCCCTGAATCCCATCTTGTAAACAAAGGAGGATGTAGCTGAATTTTAGTGGTCTCCAAGAGGCCCAGGGGTGAGCAGGGGCAGGAGCACTTACAAGAACAGAAACACTTTCTCCTCCTGCTGACTCTCCAAAGATGGTCACAGAGCCTGGGTTCCCTCCAAAGTTGGCAATGTTGTCCTGGACCCAGCGCAGAGCAGCCACCTGGTCCAGGTGACCCCAGTTCCCTGGGCTGTGCTCATCCCCAGTGCTGTAAGATAATAGGGTGGGGTGGGACTAGAGATGTCATGGCAGAGCTCTCAGGACATGAGGGGACTCTGCATCCATGACACAGGTGTCTTTACCTGACTGTCATCCCTGTAGCATTGCTCTGCATGGAGTCTACATTCATTCTTCCAGCAATGATGGGCTGAGTGAGCATCTACTATGTGCCCTACACCAGTCTAAGAGTTACAGCATCCCCAGGAACCAGTCAGGCAAAACCTGACTACACTCAGCTCACACTCCAGAGCACAGACAAACAGATGAAAAGAGAACACAATGTTCATAAGTGAAGATGATTCGAGGTAATGACAGGTAATGACAGAGGCAGGGTGGGGCAGTGGCAGGGGGGTTCAATTCTCAGCACCAGGGAAGGCCTCTGTGGGGCAGTGGCATTGGGTACAGACCAGCATGAAAGGAGCACAGGTCTTTCTTGTAAATGTCCAAAGAAGAAATTCCGGGAAGGAGAAGCAGCACGTGCAAAGGCCCCAGGGCCAAGGGCACCAAAGTGTGAGTGTAGCTAGAGTGAGAGGCAGCTAGAGAGGGCGCTGGGGGCCTTGGAGGGGACTTCTCTGTCACCATCAGTGACCTGGGAACCCTCAACAGAGGCAGGGCAAGACTCACCCTGTGCCTCTCATGATCTCTGGCCACTGTGGAGCGGCCACCACGTCCGAGTCACAGGTTTATGAATATGATCACAACCATAATCCAGCCAGAGAGGAGGTCGGGAAGCGAGGGGGAGAGGGGCTGGATTCTGAGCGTGTTTACAGGAGGAGCCCTGCAGATCCACTGGCCACCGAGATGGGGAGGAGGACAGAGAGGAGCCTCCAGGCTGCCCCAGGCCTTCACCTTGACCACCGGGAAGGGGGCAGCTGCAGCAGGGGCACAGGGGCTGTGGGACAGCAGGAGAGCCTGAGCTGGGGTGGGGGGGTGTCTGTCCCTGTGAAGTGGAGGGTTCCCTGTGCACAGCCAGGGCAGCAGGAGGAGGCAGCTAAGGTGGCACCTGGGTTCCAAGTGCTGCTGGGCTCACTCAGGGAATCAGTGGAGGGAGAGGGAGACCCAGAGGCCTGAGCAAGGGGAGCAGGAGGGGCCAGCAAGGCAGTTGAGAAGGAGCAGCCAGCTGGGAGTGGGCGGTGACCCGGACCCAGGAGAAGGAGGCACCTGCTTGGCTGCTGCTGAGACTCAGGTCATGTGGTCTGCGCTGAGCCCTGTGGTAATGATTGGCCTCTTCTGGACAGCCTGGTGACAAGGCCCTCTGAACCCTGCCAGCCCAGAATTCACTGAGCTCCCTCTGTGGCACTGCCCTTGTTTCCTTTCCCGGAGCAGAATGTGGCATTGCACCCGGGGCTGCACGATGACCGACATCAGAGGACTGCGTGTGCCAGAAGATCCCAGGGGAAGGAGCAGGAGCATTTCAGAGATGCTCATCCACGAGGCCCGCACCTCACAAGGTGATTAGGAGTGTGACAGCTGAGGGGGCCATGCTAGCACAGGGCACAGCACATGCAAAAGCCTGGAAGCAAGTGGCCAAGCGTGACTGGGAGTGAGAAGGTCAAAGGGTGCGTTAGGAAGGACCTTAGCAGAGCACTTCATGAGCAAGGACATCACCTTTTTGCTTTTGTGGCTTCTATGGTTTGGGTGTGGTTTGTCTCCCACATGTGCTGCAGCTTTTGCTGGCTTTTGTGGCAATATTAAGCACCTATGGAACCTATGCAAGATGAGGTCTGGTTGAAGGTGATCGGGTCATGGGGGTGCCACCCCCGTGATGACCCTTCCTATGCACCTCCCTCTGCCTCTCCTGCACATCCAATGTTACCCACCCCCCTAAGAACACCTCACATCACCAATCCTGGAAGCCTCAGTCACTTGACTAACATTATACAAAGGCTTGCTGTATGCCAGAGACTGTGATAAAGCCAGAGGGTAAGAGTGGGTATTATAATCTGAAATTCATAGTTCTTGCATTTAAGCAGTTCACATAGGGGTTAACCTAGAGCTCATGGGATCTGGTTAGTTGAGAGACAGTGAGTTGTTCCAAAAAGAGCAAGACCACCCCACACCCCATTTTCTGGCTCCCCATCTCACTGTGGTGAGTTCTGCATGTACAGTTTCCCTTTGTGTCCCTCAACCATATTGTGATACAGAATAACAGGCCTTCCACAAAGACCAATCCATTGAAGCCACTCAAAACTGTGAGATAAAACTCTTTTCTTTATATTTACCAATGCAGGGGCTACTGTGCAGAGAGGAGAGTCCAGCGCCTTACCTGAAGAATCCCCAGATGCCCAGGCGGTACTGGATGGTCACCACCACCACGTTTTCAAGGGCAGAGAGGGGCAGTCCATCATAGGTGGATGCCCCGCCCACCACCAGACCACCTCCATGGATCCACACCATCACCTGGGCAACACAGACACAACCATACTAGTTATAGGAAGCACAATTGGAGAAGACCTCAGAGGTCTGTCACCTACATCTTGACTGTGACTGCACAAATGCCAGTAGCAACATCCACCAGTGTTAAGGTTGGATATGAGGTGTCCCCCAAAAGCTCACATGTGGGACAATGCAAAAAGGTTCAGAGGAGAAATGACTGGATTGTTGAGAGTCTTAACACAATCACTAAATTAATCCCTTATGGAATTAGCAGACTGGTAACTAGAGGGAGGTGGGGTGTGGCTGGAGGAAGTGATTAATTGGGGGCGTGGCTATGGGGTATATCTTTTGTATCTGGAGCTGGAGTCTCTCTCTGCTTCAAGATCACCTCTGCCATGATGTTCTGCCTCACCTCCAGCCCTGAGGAATGGAGCTGGCCTTCTCTGGACTAAGACTCTGAAACCGTGAGCCCTCAAATAAACTTTTCCTGTCCTACAGTTGTGCTGACTGATCCTTTAGTCCCAATAGCGAAAAAGCTGACTAAAACATCCAGAGTCCAGCAAGGTTGCAAAAGGCAGTCTCTCTTCTCCCCAACTCCCCCAGCTCAGGGCCCAGGAACCCCCTGACTCTGTGCACCCACGTTTATGCCAGACCTATGTCCTCCCAAAGCTCTTAAGACTGCAATGTCATCACAGGAACAGCAATAACCAAGGACACTGTGTATCTCCCCAATGCTCCCATGGTCCTCATGCCTGGACCAGTCAACCAGTTGGACATAAGCAAGGGGCAGCTCTGGCACTTCAGCTGCACCTGCATTAACTCTAGTGAGGAATAAACTTCCCTGTGCAAGAATGATTTCCTCAGGAATCACAACCCCACCCCTGTGATGACCATTCCTGTGCACCTCCCTGTGCCTCTCCTGCACATCCAATGTTACCCACCCCCCTAAGAACACCTCACATCACCAATCCTGGAAGCCTCAGTCACTTAACTAAAATTATCCAAAATCTTGCTGTATGCCAGAGACTGTGATATAGCCAGAGGGTAAGAGTGGGTATTATAATCTGAAATTCATAGTTCTTGCATTTAAACAGTTCACATAGCAGGGAATTATTATAATAATAGTTGTAATAAAAAAAGAACTCATAACCTGAACTAAGTACCAAGTACTGTTTAAGTACTTTGAATTAACTATCTACAAGGTAAACACTAATATTGTCTCATTTAACAAGAAATGTGAGGATTAACCTGCCTAAAGTTCCACAGCTAATAAGTGGTTCAAGCAGGGCTTGACCCAGACTGACTGGCCCCAGAGTCCATGGTCTGAGTTGCCCAACTCCCTGCCACCCAGGGCCACAGCCCTAGCACAGTGAGTCCACTGGGGGCAGGAAGAAGGTCCTACTATAGCTCTAACTTGAGTTCCAGGAGGGCTCGCTCTGCGCACTCAGCCAGCCCTGAGATGAAGCCCGACCGCCATCATTAGACACTCACACGGGATTCTTCCCACGAGAGGAAGCAGAGGCTGAGGGAGGTGGAGAACTTGCCCAAGACTCTCAGCCAGGACAAGGCAGACCCAGGATCCAAACCCAGACCCTGGAGATCTAGACCCTGTGTCCACAGCTGGGGGTCTCCTGCCTCCAGGCTCCCAGAGCCCTGTTTCTCCTGCACCTCTGATCCTGCTGTCCCCAGGGAGGGACTGAGTCGGGGTCACCTGAGTGAAGGTGAGCTCAAGGACAGGTCAGCACAGACAGGCTGAAGAGGCCAGGACGTGTGTGCAGCCAGATGGTAAGTTCTGGAGGGCAGGGGCTGCGGGGGAAGGCCCCGTGCTCCTGCTCCCCCTAAGCCCAGAGGTCAGCTGGGCAGATGGGGTCACTGAGCACACAACAGCAGGATGAGTGGGAAAAGTGTGTGACTGAGGGACCCTGTCCCCCTGCCTTGTGTCTAACAAGCACATGCAGGACCAACTTCAAAAGTCCCTAGTTCAAACCTCCTCCCCAACTCTTGGGAACCCTGCCAGAGTGCTCCTGGGGCACTAGCTGGGAGCTGACCCCCTCTTTATTCCAGTTCAGGTATGACGTCCTTCCAGCAGGTCCCTCACCCTCTGGCCTGCTCCTGGCAGCCGGCCCACCTCTGGCTCTTCCTTCTTGGAAAACGCTGACTCACTGGGCATCAGCCTGAGCCAGCGGCAGTTAGTGAGGAAAATGATCTCCCATAAGACCTCAGATGCTTGGCCTGAGCAAGGACAGCGCTTCTAAGGTTGTCCCAGCCCTGCTGCTGCCCACCACACCTCTGTCAAGGGACAGAGACAGTGTTCAGGGGACAGTGGACGTGGTCACAGGGTATGTGCTGCAGAAAGGTGACACATGTGCTCCACTTCCTAGCCTGCTCAGGGACATTGGTTTAAAGATGAGAAGCCCCAAGCTCTGGTCCTGTCACCCTTCTGTGTGGCCTCCTTTCCCCCATCTGGGTCTCAGTTTCTCTAAAATTCTTTCCAGCTCTAGTAGACTGCTCTGGAGATCAGATTCTTAATTCTAGAAACCAGCAGTAATCATTCTGGTCCTTCTGTTCGTGTGAGAGAACATGAAAAACCTGAAATGTGCATTCCAGATAGTGCAAGATCTCCCCCAGAGGCTGAAGTCCCTAGGGCAAACCGAGGTAAGAGCCACCTGTATTTCCTGTGGCCACGGGAACCTCTGGGTCCTGAGTCACATGGCCTGTGGTGCCCCTCACCCAAGCTGCCTTCGTGGCCTTCAGACCCAGAGATCTCAGACACTGAAACTCCCAAGTCTTGACAAGTGGGGCCCACGCTCACCGGCAGGCTGCTTCTCCTGGTCAGGTCTGCGGGAGTGTAAATGTTCAGGTAGAGGCAGTCTTCAGAGAACTGGAGGGGAATGTTCTCCTTCCTGTTGGTAAGGAGATCGGAGACCTTCTGCCCCCCCACTGCATCTTGGGAACACCTGGGAGAGGAGAAAGAAGGAGATTTGAGGTTCAGGCAGATGGAGGCTGGAAGTGTCACCTGGAGCCAGACCTTAAGCTTCTCAGTGGATCTGCTATCACTGGACTTGACACACTGGAGTGAGTGAGAAGCTCACTGGGAGTTTGGTGAGGACCCTGGGACTCTCTTGAGTCTCCCCAGATCATGCAGAGTGACAGGGACTTCACTCTTTTTCCTTTCCTGGAGCCTATGGGATGCCCTGGGTCCAGGAAAGGAGGCTGCCCACACACTGGCCTGCCCTGAGAGCTGACATGTCCAGCATTCCCAGGACAAGGTCCCAATAATGTTTGGCCTATAGGATGACTGTGTCCTTCCACCAGGTAACCATGGGAGACTTCAGCAACCAAGATGGAATACATTTATCCTGAAGCAGGCTACGGGTGACATGCTGTGGGACAACCTCAGCATAACCGCAGTCTAGTCCTGCTTTAGTCATATGTGCTGGGCGACCTTAGGTGAATTGCCATCCACTCTGGGTTCCAATGCACCAGGTATAAATGAGAGGAGTGCTTTTCCTAAGGGTCTTATAGCCCTGGCATGTTAAGATTCTATCGCGACCCTATCCCAGGCAACCACTCTTGGCTGCGCTGAGAAAAGGTCTCCAAGATCCATCTTATAAAGGAATTGATAACATTGTTGAGTTCTCTCAATGTGCCAGGTCCTGATTTAAATTATTTTCATGGACTAATTGCTTTATGCTTCAGATCAGCCCCAGGATATGGGAATCTGTTATTATCCACATTTTACAGATCATAAAACTGTGTCACAGAGAGGTTCCACAATCGGCCCTAGTTCACACAGCCAAGAAGACACTTGCTATATAATATTGGTGTCCCCAAGTACATTCTAAGCAATATCTCTGGATCTCAATAGACACAGAAGACAAGCATTGCTGTCCCCAGTATGTACAAGACATAAACAAGGCACACAAGTGTCAGCAAGACACAATTATCAAGTGGCAGAGTGGAGCCAGAAAGCATGTCTTGCAGTTGTTCTCTCTTTGGAGTTGTTCACAGATTTCCAAGCACAACAGGAATATGACTCAAAAACTAGAATGCAAATGTTAAAAGCTGGAAAAGATTTCAACTTCACTAGTATTTAGATAAATGCAACATAAAGACCAAAATGATGGTTATTATTGTTTGATTGTTGTGTTACTGTTTTGTTTACCAAATTCCCCCAAAGCATTCTTTTAATAACCTCAAGCATTGCTAAGGGTCTGCTGCATGGAGATTTTCATCTAATGTTGGCAGGAATATTCACAGAATATTTCTTGAGGGAAATTTAACAAAAGGCGCACACTCTTTGGGAAATTCCATTTCTTGGAACTTACCCTAAAATATCCATAAACGGGTATCATGATTTAGCTACATGATGTTCCTCAGAGTGTGATGATGATGTCAAAAACATCAAAACCAACTTAATGAACTCAAGCGAGACATGGAGGAAATCAATTGCATCTCAATAACAAATTCAATGCAACTATTCAATGCCAGCTTCAGGTATTTAAAGGCACAAGACAAAGTTGATGATACACTGATCCATGAGTAAGGTGGTCATTCCAACTACCCGTATGTACCATCCATTTTCAAGGCAGGAAGGCTGCAACAGGATCTCCAATGTCAACAGCAGTTCCTCCTGGATCATGGGACCGCATGTGATTTTCATTTTCTCGCCTACACTTCTCTGTATCTCCTAACATATTTGCAATATGTATGTATGGCACTCGAAATCAGGAATTTAAAACTGAATATTAACTTTTTAAAGAAAGGACTGGAAAGAAGGCAGCCAAAAGTGGGATTCTGGACATCCCAGAAATACCCAATGAGGAGAAGATGAAAGTCATAAATGACACCTGTAGGTGTCTGAGGGGCTCTAGTGTGATCATGAGGACATCTGGAATCTTTGGGCTTGTACCCCACTGGCCAGGGTTCCTGGGCCCAACAACCTTTGCTTTGCCTATGACTATAACTAGACACAGGTGGGCGGTGAGAACTCACCAAGGTGACCCTCCAATGCACCCAGACACACACCTTCACCCACCCCACTCCCAGCTCACCAACTTTCAATATAAAAAAGATAAGATGACTACTTCTTATCTCTCTCACCTGCTCAACAGCTCTTTCTCCAACGTACTAATCACCAAGCATGTTCTAACACAGCATGACATAATTCATTGTTTACCTTCAGTGTTTTTCGTTATCTCACGCACTCTCCCTGCAGGACTAGAAGCTCCATAGAGCCAGGATCTTTCTTTGGCTTACCGATGGATTCTAAGAACCAAGGGCAAGCTGGGCACAGATTAGATGATCAAGAACTAGTGTTGAATAAAGGGCTCTAGGTCCCTGAGAGGTCCGGACTGTTTCAAGGCTCTGCAGTGTTCTAGAAGATTCCAGAAGAAAGGAGAGCCAAGCCCAGGACGGCCGCCACCCCCTCCTGCAGCACGGAGGGACAAACCCCCCTGGGACAGGCCACCACTTACATAGGAGGGTAGGAGGTGGTGTTCTTCACAGATCTCCAGGGCTCTGCCGGCTGCGGTGGAGCAAACCTCAGGGGCCCAAGAGGGGGCCTGGCAAAGGGGACGCCCAGGAAGACGGCCACGGGCTGCGCAGATCCTTCCAGACTGACGTACTTCCCCAGGACTTTGCCGTGCACCGTGTCCACCACGGGGGGCGAGGACGGGTGTCCTGCTGGACATGGGGAGCAAATGAGGACATTAGAGGGGAAAGGCCAGACCTGGCCACATTCTAGGCATGTGACACTGAATAAGTGACCTAAAATTTTAGGTCTCAGAGTATTTTTTATGTGAAATAGAGATGAGGAGAATGTCCAGCCTAATGAAAGGGCTGATAGACGAGGTCAATTAGAATTGAGGTATAAATTTATCCAGTCAAAGTCAGTGACAAAAGAAGAGCTTCTGGGAATGAACAGGGCCTTTCGTTTCCCTCTTAGAAGCTTCTAGAAGTATGTATCCCCCTGGTACTGAGCTGCTTACTGGTTAAGAGCATGAACAAGAGGAGGCCCTATTCTCAGGCTGGCTGACCTTGTGGGGAAAAGGAGCCGCAGACATTCTTGACTTCATCTGGGAAGAAATAGGCTGTGTGTCCTAGGCAAGAGTCCAGGGAGGGGCTGCAGGAGGTAGAAGAGGGAGCAAGACCTTCTGATCACAGGGAGCCGGGACTTGCTGAGGAGAGAAGAGAATGAAGGGAGAGAATTGGGGGCTAACGCAGGAATCAAAGAAAGTGCAGAGGTTCAGAAAATCAGAGACAGGAAAACACGGGGCCTGGCTTAGAGCCCACCAGAGTGGGCTGTGGATACAGCTGGAGCCCAGGTGGAGGGGATGAAACTCCGAAATGAGCAGGTGAATGTCAGGGAGGGCCTTGAATGCCAGGCTAAAGGACTGGGTTTTATTTAGTGGACAAAAAGCAGCAAGAACAATTCTGGAGAAAAGGACTCAAAACTCTTCTAGAATATTCTGCTAGTTCTTAGCGGAAACAGACCACTACAAGAACTGGGGAGAAGACATTTCTCGGAGTCTCAGTTTCTCTGTCCATAAAGTGGCACAGGTGTGTGCTGTGGTCCATTTTGCTGAACCCCTGTGTTAACCATGGATTTATTTTCTGTCTCTAATGCCTTGGCTTCTGAGGTCTTGGTGATCTTTGAGGAACTACTGCTCCTTGGGTCCACACCCCAGCCACCTCCTTTATTATGGTCTCATAACCTGGGCCAGTATCCTCCTGCCCAAACCACCCAGAACTAGGAGCCAGAACAAAGTCCACTCAAATAATTCCAACTGGCCAACCCTATGCCAGCTTCCTCTGCCTCTCCCCCTCTGGGAAAAACCAAAACAACCATTTTGTACCTGTTGGCCTCCTCTCCCTCTGCCTCCTGACTGACCTTTGTGTCTTGTCCACCCCAGTGGTGTCCCCACCCTCTTGGGAACTGGAGTGACAAACTATCTTTTCAACAAAGTCTTCTGGCCTGATGTTACCATATGTCAAATTTCCTAATAACACACTCCACTTTAGATCAATACCTTTATCCTTTTTCCACCTCCTCTAGACCAGACACCATTCTAAGTGCTTCAAAAAGCACCACCCGCTTCATCCTCACTACAACCTGATAAGGTGGGTACTACTTCATGCCTATTTTAGGGACAGGCACTCCAGGCACAGCTAAGTTAAGTATCTGGCCCAAGGACACCCAGCTTGAAAGTGCTGTGCTGGGATTCACTTAGTTGGGTTCCTGAGATTATGCCTTTAATATTTTGCTAAGTCATTCTCCATGGGCCAGATCTGCTCTAATAATCAAGTGGGAAGGTGACCTCTCTTAGTTCCTCATGAGTGAAGTTTGAGTTTATCTCATTGCCCTCCTGACCCTGATGCATAAAGCAGGAGGGCCAGGTGTTTTAGTCCCCTGAGTCTTGTTGTGGCCAAGGCTGGCTGAGCTTCACTACTCCAAGTCTGTTTTCAAGTTCAAGTCCAGTTCCGAGTCTGGAGGGAGAGGGAGATTGTGGAACTGGAGCTGCATGCCTTTGCCCTCTAGTTATCGCCACCCATCTCAGCCAAGGACAAGGATTTCCCCTGTGTCCCCTGGTATTTATATTTCAGAAGGACTCACCCCATGCCGCGCAAGCAGAGAGAGAAGCCAAGACCAAAGTATAGAGCCACATCCTGGAAGGACAGCCGTTCTGGGGTCGGTGAGTCTCTATGCTGCTCAGAGGCAATGCACCTAAGCTCAAGACCTGCCCCTGAATCCTGCCTACCCAGGCCAATTGCATAACCTAAAATGACAGAAAAGCTCTCCCTCCCTCTGGCATCTCTTGGGACCTCCAAGTCACGCCCATAACTCCTCCTTTGTATCTGAACAGTCGGTATCAAACTCTTAGATTACAGAGGGCCACAAACTCGTCCAACAACTTCTTACATAAGAATTTCTCCCTGGTAGAACTCTAACCTCAGTGCACTTTGAGCTTCCCAAAGCAGGCACCAGGAAACTGAACCCTGAAACAAGGCAAAACTTTGGTCTGGGGTCCTCAGAACAAGCTGGGACATTGTAGAGCAACTCCCAGCTCCAAAGCTGCTCAGCTGAGAGATTAGGGACATCTCTTAGCCTCCTTGGGCTGCTGTTTCCTAGAAACCAGGCTCTGATATTTGGAATGATCATCCAGTCCTCTTCTGATGTCTAAATTAGCTTTGCTTTGTGTCTGCGTGGTGACCCAGGCTCCCACACACAACTATGGTCAGGAAACTCACTACATTTTGGTGCAGCAATTTTTGGATATAATATTCTTCCAGTAAATGAATTCCATATACCTCAAATTCTTGGCTCTCATTATACCTCCATCCATTTTATCCATTCCTTCTTCAAACATTTACCCACATACCTGGTAAGTGCAGGTAAGTACAAAAGCTGAGAAGAAAAAATCTTCAGGCCCCAACTTTACTCTGTGTGAAATTTTAGCATTTTCGGGTTATGGATGCTTTTATCAGAGGTTACAGAGAAAAAGGAAAATGTATATAATATTTGTTTCTAATTTAACTTTTCGGTTTCTGTCTCTCTAAAGTCTAAGGTCTCTCTTGACCAGTGTCCTGAATGGAGAGCTCAGCATGTTATCCCTGTTACAGTGCTGCCCCCTGCTGGACACTGGTAAGTACACTGGTGAAGACAGGTCTGGTTGTCTCTAGTTTTTTGCTTTGATTTAATTTAATCAAAGATTGGGGCTAGGAAAGACACTTTCTGTAAAATATTAAAGATGTTTACAATGAAAGTAATGATTAGATATTTGAGAGTATTACAATAATGGAAAGGCAAAGATGATTTTAAACTCTGACGGGTACTTGTATTACTGATGTATCTGAAGTGACATGGCTATTCAGGAGAGGGAATTTTTTAAACATAAAAGGAGTCAATTCATAAAGGTCCTTGTTTTCATCCAAGTCCACCTCCTTCTGAAAATATTTTTTAAGTGTGTTTGAATTAGACATGACAGTAGAGTGCATTTGGACACATTGTATACAAATGGAGCACAACTTCTCTTTCCTCTGGCTGTATGTGGTGCAGAATCACACTGGTAGTATAATAATATGTGTATATAGGGTAATAATGTCTGTCTCATTCCACCATCCTTCCTATCCCCACACCCTGTCCCCTCCCCTTATTCCCCTCTGCCCTATCCAAAGTTCATAGTTTAGCTATTGTGAATAGAGCTGCTAGAAACATTCATGTGTCTGCATCACTGTAGTATGCTGATTTTGAGACTTCTGGGTATAGATAGAGAAGTGGGATAACTGGTTCTATTAAAATGGTGGTTCCATTAAACAGTATGATATTGGCATCAAAATAGATATGTACACCAATGGTACAGAACAGAGGACAGAGACAAACCCACATAAATAAGGTAATCTCATACTAGACAAAGGTGCCAGAAACATACCTTAGAGAAAAGTTAGTCTCTTCAACAAATGTTGCTGGGAAAACTGGTAATCCATATGCAGCAAAATGAAGATCAAGCTTTATCTCTCACCATGCACAAAAATCAACTCAAAGTGGATTAAAGACAGGCACTAAAACAGAGACCCTGAGCCTAACAGAAGAAAAAGTAGGACCAAATCTTCATCATGTCAGCGTAGGAGATGACTCCTAAATGAAAGAAATAAAATCAAGAATCAATAAATGGGATGCATTTGAACTAAAAAGCTTTTTATCAGCAAAGGAAACAATCAATAACATGAATAGAGATCCTAAAGAATGGGAGAAAATCTTTACCACCCACACCTCAGACAGAGCAGTCTTCTCCAGGATATAGAAAGAACTCAAAAAACTTATCACCAAAAAACCAAATAACCCCATTAAGAAATGAGCTAAGGAACTGAACAGAAACTTCACAGAAGAAGAAATACAATTGAACAATAAATATATGAAAAAAAATATTCATCAACTCTAGCAATTAGAGAAATGCAAATCAAAACTACTCTAAGATTTCATCTCACTCCAGTCAGAATGGCAATTATCAAGAATACAAGCAACAATAAGTGTTGGGGAAGATGTGGGGGAAAAGGCACACTCATGCAATGCTGGTGGGACTGCAAATTGGTGCAACCACTATGGAAAGCAACATGGATGCTCATTCTTTTTAAAATCTTGAGGCCATAATTAATATTCAAAAATTGGCAAGTGAGATGGTGGCAAGATCCTTGACTAAGATGGGCAATCTCTTCCCAGAGGCACACCAAGTACCTCCTCCTAAAGCCAAGAAAATCAGGTGAAATATCATAATGCCCACTTTTAGTATGATAAAATAAAAATATTGAAAAAGCAAAAAGTATTGTGATACCTGCATCACCTTGTTCCAACTCCACGTAGCCCATGGTGGAGACAAGTGGCTCTCATTTTGGGAAGTCTAGAAGCCCAGGACCAGGTCTGCCATTGTGAAATTCAGTAGTGGGCAAAGCCCCACAACTCCTATCACAGGGCCGAAACTCACAGATTGAACTTCCAAGTTCAAACTCAAATTGAACTTCCAATTACTTGTTGATCCAAGTAATTTACTGCCTCTGCAACCAATCAATTTAGGGTTCTTTCCTTAAATTCAGACAGAAATCACCAACAGGCAAAGTAAAGCTCCCATCACATTGACAGCTCTAAGCTTTGAGGGCTAGCAGCTCTCAGCTCATTGGGTTGGGAACTCTTCCTGCTGATCATGCTGCAGCCAGAACTGATAGCTCTTCCTGTAAGTCTCCCAGCAGACAGAGCTAACAGCTCCCTAGCTTGACTTCCAGTCAGGGCAAGCAGCTCTCTCAGCAGCTTTTCTATAGCTCTTGGCAGCTCTCTGGCTTGTAGCCATTCTCAGGCCTACCACCCCTTAGTGTTACCAGCTGTTGATATGACCAACTTACCTTGCTCTGCTTGAGATAGAAACTACAGGAGAAAAGCTGGGTGTGGTGGTGCCCACCTGTAATCCTAGCAGCTTGGGAGGCTTGAGACAGGAGGATTGTGAGTTCAAAGCCAGCCTCAGCAACAGTGAGGCATTAAAGCAACTCAGTGAGACTCAGTCTCTAAATAAAATACAAAATAGGGCTTGATGTGGCTCAGTGGTTGAGTGCCCCTGGGCTCAATCCCGGGTACCCACCCATCCCCCCCAAAAAAAAGAAGAAAAAAATAAATTATAAAAAATGTAAAACCCTCTGAAAGGGGCTTTATTAGAACTTAATGCTGCAGCAGGTAGGGAGCAATACATGGGAGGGAGACTTATGCCGACTGATCTGATGAGATGCTTATACAGACCAAAAAGAAGGCCCATGCATTCACAGTCTCCTGTTGGCTAACTTCAGAGGTTTTGCATAGTCGTGCCAGTCTTCCTAGCTGTATTGGGCCCACCTGGCTGTCATAGACGGGCTCCTCACAGACCAAGTGGAGACATCTGAATGGGCTACAGAGGGGAAGAATCATTCAGAAAATCTTCAGAGCCTCCAAAGCTACTGTAGCCAAAGCAAAGTCTCCCAGAATATTTATGGAGCATGTGATGCGGCTGTAGCTATTGTGATGGCCGCCTGGCTGGACAGCTAAAGAATCAGTTACCTCACTATGCTTCAGGACAGGGGTTGCATCCAAGTGCCCGGATGTTGAGGAGGGGTCTGGAGGCTGACCAGGCCAGGACACTAATACCCATTCCCCCAGCTCCAGGAAGCTTCAGCCATGAACAAAAAAGCACTAATTTATATGCAGAAAGCATAAACAGAGTGATATCAAAAAATACCCTTTTAAGGAAGATTTGGACTTTCCAGTCTGTCTCACCTCCATCGCCCCTCCTTTAATCTTGAGGGTAGAACAGAGAGTAGGGCACAAAAGCTACCACAGAGCTTTATCTTGGATCCAGTTCCAGGCCTGCCACCCTATAGAAATCAAAGTTCCTATACATAGGACAGAGCTCACAGAGCCTCTAGAATGACTCTACCGTCAGGTGGAGACCTATGCACCAGACCCACACTTTGGCCCCACTTCCTTCCTCCCAAGACTGCACAAGCTCCCACAGTTGTGAGACCCAGGCATGATCCAGCCAAGAGCCAGACTTTAAGACCAACCTTGGCCAACAGCTATCACCACGCCAGTGCTTGCAGCTAGTGTTCTGGAACTCCCAGCAATGTCCGAGTGTGCCTTTTCCCCCACATCCTCGCCAACATTTATTGATTTTTGTATTCTTGATAGCTGCCATTCTGACTGGAGTGAGATGAAATCTTAGAGTAGTTTTGATTTGCATTTCTTTAATTACTAGAGAAGTTGAACAAAAAAGTAATCAAAAGTGCTGGCTGTTATCAGGATAAAAAAGAGAGTATGGCTACCCCATGCAAGTTTCCCTGTTGCCTCTGCAAAAGATGGTTAGCACTCCTAGTAGGGGTATCCTTGCGGTGCATAGGGACTCACAGGGACCTAGGTGATGGTCTTCCAGGTCCTGGTTGTTGTCTCTAGATGGAAGCACCCGTGTCACTGGTTGATGGCGGCAGTAGTGTCAAGCCTGTAGGTACTTAACATTGGGCTTCCAGGTGTCCCAAGGTCCAAGCTGCCCCAGCTAAAGATGGCAGAGGCAGCAGTGGAGGTAACCCAAGATGGTGGTGGAGATGTCCCAAGATGGAAGCAACTGCTTTCAGGGATAGGACTGGGAGGACGGGCTGTGCAATGGCATTGGGTGGCCTATTCGGTGATGCTCCAGTGCTGTCTGCAGTGCTGCAAGGGTCAGCTGCCCTTGCCCTGACCAATGTCCCACAGTAGAGATTACCACGTGGGGAGGGCTATGGCGATGGCTGCTGTTTCACATGATCCTTACCCACCAATCAGAAAGCACTCCATGCCAACTATCAAATCATTAAACTGTTAAACTGTCATAACTGTCAAACACCCTCCCCGCCCCCGCTCTATAAATATGCAGAGCTGTTCCTCAATAAACGGGCATTTTCTCTGACGACGATCCTTCTTCATTCTTTCAGCTGCGATGGCCCAAGGTGGAGTAGGTTTGGGTGGAGCCACCTGTTGGTGAATAAGGAACCACAACATGCGTGGCACGGTGTTCCTCTCATGTCTCTGGTGCTGCACACAGGGGGCAGGCCTCTCCAGTCCTTTTTTTTTTATATATATATCCAATCCCAACCTCAGTTTTAGGCCCAGCTGCCCTTCATAGGGGACCTCCACACCTCTGCTCTCTTCCAACAGATTTCTGGCACTTGTTACCTGGTATCTGCTGACTCAGGAGGCATCCTGGAGTGGCTCCTCTAGTCCTGGTCCTGCCTCCATGCCCAGGGACCCTGTGATCCTCAGATGTGAAGATGGGGTATTCTCAGTGATCCTGACTGTTGGGAGTCGCCCCAGCTCCAAAGACTAACATCCCCATCCCCCAGAAGAGCCTTTCAATGGTGAGCCCTGCTGGCTCACAAGATCCTTACCCACCAATCAGACTATCCCTGCTGACTCACATGATCCTTATCCACCAATCAGAAAGCATCCCATGCCAACCGTCAAACCATTAAACAGTTAAACTGTCATAACTGTCATAACCCCCGGCTCTATAAATAAGCAGTGCTGTTCCTCATTAATCAGCATATTCTCCGATGATGAGCCTTGTTCATTCTTTCAATGGTGCCGAAACCCGGGATGGGGAATGCCTCGCTGCTCAAGGGCACCCTCTCTCAAGGCTTGTGGTCCTCGTCCACTCTTTCAAGCGCTGCTGCTACTCACACAACACCGGCTCTTCAGTAGGTGAGTTCCCCTATCAGGTATCCAACTTCAGACGGGCTATGCAGGGGCTTTGACCATGATCATCCGGCAAACCTCTGACGCCCAATCTGGAGGAGAGAATGTACCCCACCACAACCTTCACGGTCACAGTGGACTCTCTGGAACCCGGTTCATGAGCGGGAGGTCCTGAGGGGTGGAGAACAGGCACTCCCCGCCCCAACCACCCTTGTCCTTCTCCTGACCTATGGGCGCCTCATCTTCCCTCCCTGCAGACTCCCCCTTATTAAATTCTGCACAAAAGATTGGCCTTACTGTCAATTAGACAATCAAAGTCAATGGCCCCCAGGAGGATCCCTAGATTCCACAATTCTCAGAGATCTGTTTAACTTCTGCGAGAGCTCGAAAAAGTGGAAGGAGATCCCCTATGTTGAGGCTTTTTTTCTTCTTTGTTCTCACCCAGACCTATCCAGTAGATGATCCCCCTCCCTACCAACCTCCCCCGCCGGCTCCGTCCAGCCCCTCAGATGCTCCCCCTGACTCAGCCAACACCATTAGTCCCCACCCCAAACTAGGTCCCAAGAGTTTCAATGGGTCCTCCAGGCTTATAGCCTCACTCACCATGATATATATATATATAATTGGCTAATGCTCTCCTTCTTGAGGAACATACCAGAGTCTGGGAACTTGCCAGAGCCCATGAGAATGAAACTCACCGAGTTAATCCCAATACCCAATAACCCTCTGGGGCCACTTGCTGCCCCAGATCAAACTCCCGACTGGGATTATAATACACAAGCTGGCATACAGAGTAGGGACAGATTCTCCACATGTATTATTGCTGGGCTCAAAAAAGCAGCATGTAAGGCTGTCAATTTCCAAAAATTACAAGAGACTCCATCAGAATTTCTGGATCGGCTTAGGAAAGCCCTTTAGCAGTAACCTAGATCCTGAAACCCCAGATGGCCGTCATATCCTTATGACATATTTCCTCTCGCAGAGCTACCCCAACATCCGGGACAAACTAAAAAAGCTCGAACAAGGCCCTGCCATGCCCCACTGAGAAATTTCAGATGCTCGCCCAGGCCATGCAGGGTGCTTCCTCTGGTCGCCGCCCATCACCGCAGGTCAAAACCCCCTAGGACTCCTGCTTCAAGGATGGCAAGGAGGGACATTGGGCCAGGGCATGCCCCACACCACGCACTACGCATACCCTATGCCCTAAATGTCAACAACAAGGTCATTGGGGCTCTGACTGTCCTAGATCCTGTAGGAGGCCTATGGCCAGGGAACCCTTCGACCTCTGGGCATGGCAATCGAAGATTGATTATACCTTGGGTCCTTGTCCCCGGCAGTAACAATCAATTGACAGGGACCCAGGGTGCAGATTCAGGTGGATAGGTACAAGGTTGACTTTCTCCTTGACACTGGGGCTACCTTCTCATCCTGACAGAATTATGGGGGCAAACAGTACTGTCCACCTCTCCTATTGTCGGGGTAGGAGGAAAGACCATCTATCCAAAAAAGACTCCTCTATTATTCTGTTCCATAGACAACTTCCCATTTGCTCAGCCGTTCCTAGTTATGCCCCAAAGTCTAGTTCCTTTGCTCAGCTGAGATATTCTCTCTAAACTCAATACAACAATCAACATACCGGCTCCTGACTGATGAATCAGGTCCCAGAATCGGCCTGTTAATCTTTTCTGGCCCTTTTGGCAGACTGGCCATTCTGCTCCACTTGTGAGGCTGATATAAAACACCATACTAAAAAAGACCCCTTACCTACAAACCTGGTCGACCCGATTGTACAACCTATTATTCAGGACCTTCTTTGCAAGGGGTACCTCCATTCTGCTCATTCCCCTTACTCCCATACTAGCTGTAAAAAAGCCCAATGGGTCCTATCGCTTAATTCAGGACCTACGACTCATCAACACCTCCATTAGGCCCATACATCCTTTGGTTCCCAACCCATACATCCTGCTGTCTCAGATCCCCCACACTGCCACCCACTTCTCGGTCATAGATTTAAAGAATATCTTTTTGCCTTTAACCTGGACTGTCCTTCCTCAGGGATCTCAAGATAGTCCACACCTTTTTGGACAAACCTTGGCCTCCGACCTCCAATCTTTTCACCCCCAATGCCCCAAATCCACCCTCTTGCAATTGTCAGGCAAATCTCTTTGCCCACCTGCGGGGAGGAAACCACCCCACCACAGCCTTTAAGGCTATGGTGGCCCTCAGGGACTCCTTCTTTGGACAGATTCGAAAGTCCTAGTCCTCTCACCTTTAAGACTCAGCCGCTAGATTGACGCTTATCCTCCCCTTTCTCTCTCTTGCCCTGCCTCTCCCCTTTTTCCAGTCCTGGGAGTATCCAGCCTCTTTAGGAGAGGTCCCAAAAAGCCTTAGCCAAGGTCTTCCACGGCTCCGGCTCTGTCCAGGACGAGAGCTTTGACTGTCAGGATTTGGTGACAACCAATCTCTGCAGCTCAAAACTGCCACTTAGGCACTCCTGATTTTTTGGCTCTAGTGGGGACGCCCCTTTTGCCAATAAATCAGTTTCCTCCTTCTCTTCGTCTTCTTCCCTCCTCCTTACATGGGTAATGTGTCCTCTCTGCTGGTCGACTCTCCCCTACAATGCCTCTTGGATCAAATATACCACCCCGGGTCTGGCCCACTTATCCCTGGATCCCTTCATTCTAAGGGATCGCTTTCAGGCTTTCTTCTTGCTCTGATCCAATCCTGCTCTCTGCACCTCTTGCAACAAATTCTTCTAGCCCATCCAAAGGGCGCTCAACAGATGACACAGTTCTCCTACTTAATTTCTTGGCCTTAAAGGGATATCAGGCCTCTCCACAAAAGGTCCTAATAGCATGTAAAGAGGTCACATATCTAGGGTTCTCTATCTCTCAAGGGAAAAAGGCCATTACAGTAGACAGAAAACAGCTTTTTGTGTCTATATCTACATCAAAGACCAAAAATGACATACTCTCCTTCTTGGGTTTGGCTGGGTACTTCAGGGTCTGGATTCCTAATTTCTCCCTCCTCACCAGGCCGCTATATAATCTGGCCAAGGGCCCCTAAGATGAACCTTACCATCAGAGGTAGGGAAGCCCTTTACAATCCTTAAAAAGGCCCTCTTCCGGGCACCCGTCCTGCATCTCCCCGACCTCTCACGACCCTTCACCCTCTAGGTACATGAAAAACAGGGACAAAGTCTGGGCGTTCTGGGTCAGGAATATGGCCCCACATTTGCACCAGTGGCCTACCTATCCAAACAGCTCAACCCCACCATCAGGGGCTGGCCCCATATCTTAGAGCCCTAACAGTGGCCCATGACCTCCAGAAAGAAGCACACAAGCTTACCTTTGGCTCCCCGCTAACCACCTCATCTCCTCACCATCTAAAGGATTTCCTCACTTACAAGGGGCTACAGTCACTTTCTCCTTCCAGGGTTCTATCCCTCCTTGTCTCATTCCTTGAAAATCCCTCCATCTATTTTCAGCCCTGCTCTCCATTAAACCCTGCCTCCCTCCTCCCATCTTCTCCCTCACAAGATCCCGTCCAAAAATTCCTGGAGGTATTAAAGACAATGTTACCCTGCCCTACCACCATTTCTGAGGGACCCCTGCCCTCATATACACGAAGGGGTTAAAGTGGCAGGGTATGCTGTCGTTTCTCTCTCATCCATTGTAGAGGCAAAACCTCTGCCACCCAATACCACCAATCAACAAGCTGAACTCATAGCTGCCACAAGGGCATGCGAGCTAGCAGAGGAAAAACCCTCTCCCTATATACAGATTCCAAATATGTCTTCCGTATCCTGATCTCCCACGCAGCCATTTGGAAAGAAAGGGGGCTATTGACCACCAGAGGGAAGGCAGTCATTAATTCCACACTTATTTCTGGCCTACTATGAGCCTCCAGGCTGCCTTCCCAACTGGGAATAATCCATTGCAAGGCCCACCAAACTGACTCCTCCCTTACTACTATGGGGAATCCAAGGCCGATCAAGCGGCTCGATCAGCCACCCTACAGAGCTTTAACTCCTCTCCGCTACTCTTTGTTACCACCGGGGATCGGCCCAAAGATCCCCAGCAACTCCTCCAGTTTCTTCATTCTCTATTCCATTCTAGTCCACAGAGTCTCACTACTTTCTTTCACTCCTTTTTCACCCTTTCCCCACGCAATAAGACCCTCCTACAACAGATCACTTCTGCTTGTCAGATCTGCCAGAAAACCAATACCAATACTCCATTAAAACCTAAACCTTTTCCTTTTTATCAGGCCCGCAGTTGTACCCGGCTGCAGACTGGCAGATTGATCTCACCAACATGCCCCAAGTAAAAAACATAAAATATCTTCTTGTATTGGTAGATACTTTTTCGGGATGGGTTGAAGCCTTTCCCACTTCTAACAAACAGGCCTCTACAGTAGTTGATCTGTTGCTTACCCACATAATCCCCTGTTTCGGGATGCCCACTTCTAACCAATCAGACAATGGCCCAGAATTCACCTCGCAGATAACTCAGGGACTGGCTCAAGTGCTATCATTCCCTTGGCATTTCCATTGCCCTTAATGCCCCCAGGCTTCCAGAAAGGTTGAAAGGACCAATCAGTCCCTTAAAGAGACCCTCACCAAGCTCACCATGGAATTAAGACTGGAATGGGTAAAGGTGCTCCCCTTGGCTTTATTGTGCATTAGGGCCTTGCCAAAAAAGCCTTCTAATCTCTCACCTTTCGAAGTCATGTATGGCCGTCCCCTCATTCCTCCTGGATTGCCTACAGAACCCCTACCCATCTCTGAAACCTATGCCCTCCCCCTCCTCTTCCATCTACGCTCTGAACTCTGGCGCTATCAAGACTGGCTCCTTCCTGACCCC